ATTTGTAGTGATAATGACATGAATTTGTGATGGCTCTAGAACTTTTTGCCCCACTCAATAGGTTAATGCAATCATCCCAGCTCTTGTGTATGTCAGCAACAGTAAGATTCTGAATACATTCACAATGTTTGAAATTTAATGTCAAAATGACAAAAACAGTGAAGAGGAAGACATTGAGATGTAAGTAATTGTTCTTTTGTCAATTCAAATTTTCATTGAGCTGCATTATGAATGTAAAATAAATTCAGATACGGCAGACTAGACAGCTGCAAACAGATGAGGTTGTGTCCCTACCTCAATCATCCCTGACGTCTCAGTCCCTATCCTCACGCATTTCAACACTGTCCCCATTATTCAGTCAAATTATTTCATAGTACCGAGTAAACAGAAAACGAACGGACCTTTCAACAAACATAGGTGTTGTGCTGTCTTAATGTTTTAAAGTTTTCTGACATCTGACCATACCTGGAGCTTTACATTCAAAATATATGCACAAGAGAAACACTTGCTAAAGAACTAGGACTTCAAGGTAATGAAAAATTCCTGGACAGGTTGGTTGCAACGGTGTCCATGCAGTGACTGGAGGACCAAGAAAATGAAGTATGGGAATGAGATCAGTCTGTCAAGGAAAAATGCTGGGTTAGGCTCAAATAGACTTAAGCTGCTGTAAAAAAAAAAAACAGAAAATGGTCCTTTCATTACCAATCCCACAGGAATACAGAGAAGTCTGTCCCCACTCCTGTTTTCACCATGTGAAAAAAGCTAGATTTTGTCCCTATACCCATGGATTACTGTTATCCCAATTGCAGTCCAGCTCCCTAGGAAAGATGTGCAAATCAGGTCATTAGCTCATTAAAATGTGCTGTTTAGCTCGAAAAAGAGCACAATGATACGGCGAGTGCAGCACATGCAGACCCTTAACGCTGCATGAGTCTGTCGCAAATACAGGTTTAAACCAAGCACAATTGAGGTCTATTGCCCCATAGGTTTGCACTTTACTGACGTCACAAAAGTGTGCACTATGAGCAGGGCCGCAGGGCTTAGGCCACCCTTTGGAACTGTGCTTAAATTGCACAGCAGCTGGTTATTCTTCTTCTTCTGTGGATTTATGGTGGTTGACAAATGATGGGTGCAATACCGCCACCCAGGGTATCTGTTATACATCCCATTCGAAATGCTGCACTCACAAATGCTAATCGGTCACAGCTGAACAGAGTTCCATGTAACCATGTGACGTTGCCTCATGGCAGGTGATTGCGTGCCTTTAAAAGCCCTCACACAAGTTGTGATGATTTATGTGTTTGGATTTGTGCTTTCAGTTTGGTGAAACAGTGTGCATGGGTGATTGCTTGTCCTCACTGACTCAGATTTTGGGACATGGAGTGGTGGAGGAAAAGGTAATAATCTGACTTGTGTGATTCCCAAGGTCATTCTGTGTGTTTAATAACCATACAATGAGTTACTTTTTTTGTTTTACAGGCTCTATTTAATTTTCATCACATTGCTTCTCTGGGAAAATGCTAGTGGAATTGGGGGTAAGAAAGAGAGAGAAAAGAGATTTTTATTTTAATGACAGTTATTAGTCACTTTGATCTCATCGCTTGTTTTTTCTTTCCCTTAGTTTGGAATGGAAGACCTGCTCAATACTGGCAAACTTTTGACTTGATAGCACCTGGAGATCAGCCTCTTCTCTTTGTCCAACAAGACTCCAGTGTTGCTGCAAATGGAGTCCAATCTGTAGACGTTCCAGCCACAAATGTTGGAAGCTTGAGTAATCCAAACACGAGGCTTGTTGGCTTGAGCCAAATTGTTCAGGGTGTTGCTGCCAGCAGTGATGAGCTCAGCTCTGATGTCCAGAGTGCTGCAAGTGGTTTTGTTCCTACTCGGCCTCTAAGTTCTTCTGGTAGTGGAGAGGCTCTAGGGAATGCTCAGGGTTTCAGAGCTCAACAAGTCTACAGACAATATGCACCGCCTCCCCAGCCTCAGGAAGCCTACACGGCCGAATCTACAAGGTCTTCCAATTATGCCTCTTCTATGAGACTAAGCCCATCTGGCCTTGTCCCTGTGAAGCCTCAAAGCCCCACAAACCTAGTTGTCCCTGGGCTTCAGACTCAGCAGTTTAGTAGGCCTGTGTCACCATCCCAGAGTTTAGCAAGTGATGCTCCAATCTCCCAGCAAAGCGGCTACGCCGTTGGGCCTAGCTGGTACGCTTCGCAGAGACCGGGCACTCCATCAGCTAGCCAGCCAAGGCAGGACGTTCCTGTGTTTCAGACCCAACCAAACAAGCCCATCCCTCAAGCTTCCTGGGACACTACTACATCTGTGGCACAAGGCAGCTATGGGCCTCAACCCATGGGATCTTCTAGCTGGTCCACCTCTTCGGGAAGGCAGAGCATTCTATCGCCCTCTCAGTCTCAAAGCACGCCAAGCCAGTATGCCCCTGGATCTTTGACCCAGCTCACGTCCCCATCCCAGACTTCGTCCTCGTGGTCTGACACCCCGCGCCAGGTGCCTGACGTCCAAACCCAGCCGTTGTACAGGCCTGTGCTCCCATCACAGACTTTAGCAAGTCCATACACGTCTCCCTCTCAAACTCAAGCCAGGGCTGACCCTTCAGGACGAGCTCAGTGGTATAAGGTTGATCTTTCCCAAGTCCAGGCTTGGCAGTCCAATAAGCCTTTGTCCCCACCCCAGAGTTTAGGGAGTCAGTATGACCAGGCAGCTCCAAGCAACTATCCCTCTGTGTCTCAAAGCCAAAGCGCCCTAGGCACTTGGGGATTTGTGTCTCCAGGCCAAAGCGCTCCAACCTCACCTGCAACCTTGACCCAGAGTGGTGTCGGCTCTCCAGCCTTCCAAACCTCCAACAGCTTCTCCACAACATCCCAGCATGCTGTCGGTCCCTCGGCCTCTGTGTCCGAGCCATCCCGCAGGGCCCAAACCTCAACGGCTTGGAGAACCCCGACTGTGTCTTCGTCCCTTGGCCAAACTTCCCCTGGAACTGCTGCATCTGTAGCCACAAGCCAACAGTTCCCCAGTACTGCATTGGTGCCACAAAGCATCAGCTATTATGCTGCTCTGCAGTCTCAAGCTGCAAGCCCCTGGCAGACTCCTGGAAACTACCGCCCTGTGCTTCAGAGTGGTGCACCCCTGGGAGGACGCTTTGACCAGTACAGCCCAGTAAGTAATGTCCCAGCCTCCACGTCTGCTCAAGGTGCCCCAGGAACCTTTGGACTAGTGCAAAGCCAGAGCAGCCAGGCATTAGGGACCTCTGGCCCGCAGGACTCTACTGTGGACTCCTCTCTAAACCAGCCAACTTTTGAACAAGGACCATCCAGCGGCTCCACAGCGGCTATTTCACCAAGCTCTTGCAGTGCTTCAGGAAGCTCAACTTCAAGCAGCTACAGCTTTGCCCAGAGGCTGAATGAGCCCTATGTCTACAAACCTGGCCCCCAGCGCTCCCCTGACCAGTTCAGCTCAGTCAAGCCCTAAACTTTTCTATTGCCATGTATTTGTGGAACCTGACATGGCATGTTTTGTTCATTTGAGTGGCAAGTCTGTCTTGTCTGAATGTAATAAAGTGTCAACCATCTTCTGGATCTGTTTCCTCTCTCAAATGTAGATCTTTCATATTTAAATGTGTACTATTAAAATGGCAATGGTTAGTTGGTGTGACTTTGCTCAAATTTAATCCAATTCTTTGCTCTTTTGTCCCACTTTAAACAGGAAACGCAAGCTTGTTTTCAGTGTTAAACTGTGACTTTAAAGCTATGCTTCCAGTTTGGGCCATAAAGATCAGAACTGTCAACAGTTTTAACAAATGTGACAGGTTTTGACATCTACTTGAATATTTCTATTAGGGTTTAGTTGATGGGTATGTGTATTGTGAGGCGATGTAGCTGGTGGTCAGGAACTTTCATTGGCTTTTCAAATATCACAGCTCCAGAACGCTCCCATTAGCAATGTCAATGTATTAATCCACTGGTGATGGCCATGGATTAGAAATGTTACTGACAGAACAGAAGTTAAGGCTTTTGCAAGTGTGGAGTGTTCCAATATCAGTGTTTCTGTTTCTATTGACAATGACATGAATTTGTGATGGCTCTAGAACGTTTGCCTCATTTAATTGGTCAATGCTATCACCCCACTGAGCACATCTAATTTAAGTTTTAGTGATGGTCAAATCCTTCCATTTAGATCTCACTATGCATTTACATTCTGTATACTAGGCCTGGGTGATATGTACAAACAATTAGCACTAATTTATTATAAAATCAACTCAATTGTTACTTTGAGACCTGTCAGTTGTAATCAGAAATTGCAAATTTCTAAGTGTATGTTTATTGTAACTGATTTTAAAAAATCAATTGACAATATTGAGTAGTTTATTTTGCAATAAAATGACATCGTCCCTGTGATCTTGTGCATTTGTGAGCTCCTCCTCTTTCATGTGGGTTCATGGCTGTTTCTTTTTTCAATGACACACAACGTGAGAAAATATTTAAGTGTAATTCCTTGTGCTTAATGTAAAAAACAAAGCTTTCTGTTATTGTGGAGGTGTTTTGGAATTTATCTATAGATGCATGGGGAAAAAACATGAGGTATGTATATAGTTTACAACTCATTTAAACCATTGGGACACAGAAGCCATGAAAACACAGTGGGGAATTTACTCTGTATACTAATTGTCATTGTGCAACTTGTCAGTCATCACCAATATCCAATTACACTGCCCCACACAAACCTACTACACACCTACACTGACTTCAATGAAACTGAAACAAAAAAACTCCAGCTATAAACCTAAAGATAACCCTAACATTATCCATTTACCAGAAATTTAATTTTCTCTTCATTTTTTTGGAAGTCTACCTCTATAAAATGAATGTAAATATGTGATGAGTCCCAAAAGATACCTAATAAATAACATTTAGTTTTAATATTCATTTGAATCCTTCTAGGTCCTTAAAGTGTAACAAGTATAGTAAGTGTAACACACTCACGTTGAGGTGCTCAGTGGTGACCTCCATGAGTTTGGAGCAGGAGGGGTGGAGCCTCTCGTAGATGATGGTGTCTGCACCTTTACAATACAGAGTTAGCCTTCCATCTGGACTTCGCACTGAAAGACACACACGCACAAATTTACTGAATGCAATGCAGGTCCACAACACCTCAAATTCATTTAAATTCAATCATATGTAATTAATGTGGTGTGAGTTTAGAAAACACAATCTCCATAAAAAAGTACCAACGAATGTTCTACATGTTATATAACATTTACACTAAGAGTAACATCCTCACCAATGACAGACATCCTTTTGCGGACATTGTTGAAGTCCAACACTGCCAGCAGCTCATAGGTGATGTTGATCCCCATCTCCACTACAGAAATCGTCTCAGGGGTACGAGCACGAAACACAAAACCAAAATTCCGTGCAGCGGTGACCAGAGCTCCTTCATCAGGAGACTGAGCCTGGTAAAATAACTGACCTGTAGAGGAGCATTACCAACATACAGTGCTGTTTTTCTATGCAAAGTCTTGGTGCAGTTCAGCTTTGAATATTTTTTTTTGATAAATCTTACAACACCTGATGTAAAGGGCCTGAAATTAAAGTGGAATTTCACTATTTGCTTTCAAATTTTATTAATGAATAAATCATTACAATGTAAATAACATCATTGAGAGCGATTTGATGTGAAATACTCTATTCTAGAGAAACTTACAGAGCCATAATTGTTCACAGTGGGGATGACAGGATTCACTGGCTAACTCGGGGGGGCAGACATGGACGACCGCCCCATTGGTGGTCCCATGGTTGACAAAGCATCGCTTAAGTGCCCTCTAGAGTGGTGAAAACGAGAGGAAGTACCCTATTGGCTGCCCTTTGTGTGGAAAAAAATGACTGCCCATTCATGTAATAAATTATGATTATAAGATATCTAGAGGGGAAAAAAACAATATTGTGTCTTAATGAGTGCCATTCTAGTGTAGAAAACATGATGCAGTACAATGGTCTAAACTTCATGTTTCCTATGGGTGCCCTTCTGTTAGAAGAGAGTTTTGCTGGAAAAGTGCCCTCTATGCTGCCCCTACATGACAGTATCCCAAAGGATGCCCTTTTCAGCAGAGAAAATGGGATGCAGTGTTGTATAGGGTACCTACAGCTGAGACAACAAAATGAAATTACTAATTAGGTTATCCTCTAATGGAGACGTGCCCCCTCCAGTGGATAAAATGTGATGCAGTGCTTTTAAGGGTGTCTCTACACGCATGAGAATGTCAGGAGTATATCTTTATACTTTTATTGTTTATTCTATTTTATATATTGTTTGTATATTTCCTGCTGCTCTGTCTTCTGCGCTGCTGTAACACCGCAAATTTCCCCGTTGTGGGATTAATAAAGGATTATCTAATCTAATCTAATCTAATCTAATGGATACCCATACAAGTGCCCTCGCAATGGGATTTACTTTCTATGTGAGAAAACCCGAAGAAGTGTCCTTGCAATGGAGAAAAAAATTCCAGGGAAGAAAATGAGATGCCTTGCAGTCTCCCCTACAACGTGCCCTCTAAGGCAGGCTTTCCCAAAGTGGGTGCCGTGATGACAGTATAGGGGTACCACCAAATACCTTGAGAAGCTTTTGCGTTTATCTCTCAAACCCTGCTTAAGGTCAAAACACATTGTATACTTGCTAACAAATATTTTCTGCATTTTTGCAACAGGCTGATAAGCTAATATCTGGCTAGCATTCTGAGATAATCTCTTCTGCACTGTACTGCATTTTTCAATGTATCCCTTAGATTAGGTTAGATAATGTTAGGTTAACTGTATTTGATAGTCAAAGTAAACTGTTGGCAATGATGACACATTAAAGTACTCATTCCCATTGTAACACTTAGAGTTATTCCATCGATTTAAGTTTTCAGTTTTAGCCACACCCCTCTAGAATGTCAGAGGGGGTCAATACAGTCTGAGCTGTAACCCTGACATCCTATTACAGAGTGTGAAGGAGGCAATGCACAAGCTTTCTTAGAGTTTTACCAATGATGTATTACTTAATACAAATGTATGTACACTGCAAGTGCTTTTATAGATGCCTAGCTAAAGCGCTAATCAACCAAATAGGAACCTTGCTTAGCTGATTCTATGCTAACTTGTGTATTCAATTTAGAAATCAAGCAGAAGTGTAAAATTCCTTTCTTAAGGAAATTATTTCAGGGTAGTTTGCACAAATGCCCATAGGACATTAAGGTCTGGTGTGAATTGCTTTTTCAATTAATTTAAGAGTGACTACACCTGACTACTAAGCTCCAAAATCATAGCTTTCTCAAACTGAAAATACTACAAAAACAACATGTTGAAAATATATCAAATGTTGAAACTGAGAAATTTTCTTGCTGTTTGAAAAATGTATGCCCATTTTGGATTTTGATGCCAGCAACACATTCCAAAAAAGTTGGGACAGGGGCATGTTTACCTTTTATCTTCTTTTAACAATACTCTTAGTTTGGGAATTGAGGAGATGAACTGCTGTAGTTTTGAAAGTGAAATGTTTTCCCGTTCTTAATTGATACAGGATTTCAGTTGCTCAAGAGTTCAGGGTCTCCTTTGTCATATTTGTTGTTTCATAATGTGCAAAATATATTCAGTAGCATCAGGTCTGGACTGAAGGCAAGCAAGTTTAGCACCCAGACTCTTTTACTACGTAGCCATGCTCTTATAATACGTGCAGAATGTGGTTTGACATTGTCTTGCTGAAATACTCAAGGCCTTCCCTGAAAAAGACGTCATCTGGACAGCAGCATATGTTACTGCAAAATCTGTATGTATCATTCAGCATTAATGGTGCCATCACAGATGTTACCCTATCATGTGCACTAATGCACCCCCATATCTTTACGGATGCACGCTTTTGAACTGTGCACTGATAACAAGCCAGATGGGCCCTCTCCTCCTTAGCCCGGAAGATGCAACATCCATGACTTCCAAAAATTGTGAATTGTTGGACCGTAGGACACTTTTCCACTACGCCTCAGTCCATCTTAAATGAGCTCGGACCCAGAGAAGGCGGCAGCGAATTTGGATCCTGTTTATATATGGTTTCTTCTTTGCATGGTAGAGTTTTAACTTGTATTTCTGGATGCAGTGACGAACTGTGTTCACAGACAGTGGTTTTCGGATGTGTTCCTGAGCCCATGCAGTGATTTCCACTACTGAATAGTGTTTGTTTTTATGCAGTGCCGCCTGAGGGTGTGAAGATCATGGCCATCCAATATTAGTTTTTGGCCTTGTCCCTTGCATAGACAGATTTATCTGGATTCTCTAAATCTTTAATTATATTATGTACCGTAGATGATGAAATCGCCAAGTTCTTTGCTATTTTATATTGAGAAAAATTCTTCTTGAATCACTGCACTATTTGCCCGTGCAGTCTTTCACAGAGTGGTGAACTCCTCCCAATCTTTATTTCTGAAAGCCTCTCTGGGATGCTCTTTGTATACTTAGTCATGTTACTGACCTGTTGCCATATAACCACAAGGTTTTTTATACAACTTTACCAGTCTTTTGTTGCCCCCATCCCAACTTTTTTGAAATGTGTTGCTGGCATCAAATTCAAAATGGGCATATATTTTTCAAAAAACAATAAAAAATCCTGTTTCATAATTTGATATGTTGTAATAATAAAATATATAGGGCTTATATGATTTGCACATCTTTGCAATCTGTTTTTATTTACATTTTGCACCACGTCCCAACAGGTCACAATACATAGGATACACTAATCATACAGTATGATTCGTTGTACTGTTACCTTCCCATGTGGTAGAAAAAACATTATTTTTCAGATTCACCAACATTTGCCCTTTATCAACATTCCATATAAAAAACTCAGAAGACTCGTGTAGGTTCACTGGTGGTTTTGGATAGTAAATAAAATGTCTATATTTGTCTTGTAGTCATGGTGACCCCTGGTTCCTATCATCACCACTGTAAAGAAATCTGAGTCTCTACACTCAACCATTTCACACCAAACCATTTCACACCAAACTACTCTGAATGACTCTGTTTACATCTCAGTGATTGAATTATGCTGACATGTTACAAATTCCATGTTAACCAGAAGTTTAATGACTCTCACTCACCCTCAGTCTTCTCCTCTGGCATGACGGTGTGGCACAGTGCAAGCAGACGGAAGAAAGCCTGAACATCTGAGGAACCCTGCTTTACCGCCTCCACCAGCACATGGTCATGGAAACAAAACTTTGGGTCTGCCAGCGAATTCCATGAAAAGTCTACCTTCTCTGTCTTCTGCATGCCAGAGACACATGAACACAGGTACCATTGTGAAACTCAAATATTTTTAAATGTTAATACTTCTACTTGTACTCAGGCATATTTGTGGAGAACAGGAGCTACTTTTCTCAGATAAATTTTAGTCATTACCATTTAGTTTTCTTTTTTGGGTTTAATTTCACTCTGTTGTGTCACACCGTGTCCTAAACCACATCCACTGGTCCACGCAACCTTAATGCAAAGGTGGATGTGGTTTGAGCCCAAGTTTTAATGCTATATTTTCACAGAAACAATCTGGGTGACTGAGTTCAATCAATGTTAGTCTTGTCGCCCCAGTTTTAAACTAAAGAAGCTAAATTTGGACTCCAAACATGTCTCGGCTGTTCAACTACATCTGGATTAAGTGTAAAATTGTGTAAAATTGATTTTTTGCCAAACCTTTTAAAACTTTGCTGTAGGGCTACATGACACCCACATAAGCTACCTAATTAAACGTTATACATGGTCATTTGAAACAGAGACAGAAAATGCTGGTTCATCCCACCCTTTACAGCATTATTAGCATTATGTCACTGTGACATACAATGAGCTACGAAGTCTGTCACCAAACCCCTAAAAAGTGCCACGACAGAAAACAATCAATGAGTGTGTTTACACGCACTTAATAATACAATAACTGTGGAAAATCAGCTTTTGTCAGTAATTCATTTAATGCATTTACATGCACTTGGTTAATCAGATGATGGGAAAACTCTGGGTCTACATGAGTCAGGCAGTAATCGGATCTCAGACAATAAACTCACAGAATAAGAAATGATGTAAACATAATGTTAAACATATTGTCATACCACAGCTTTTTTTTTTTGAACATCAAGTCACTTTAGGGAAAAATGTGAATATACATCATCTAGAACAGGGGTCAGCGGCTCTTTTACTGTATTGTTGTGGCTCCACAGCAGAATGAGATTAAAATTATAAAAATAAAATAATCCTCCTTTACAGTAAAATAAAGCTGATCGTTCTAACACAGCTTTAACAAGAAATGGTCTTAAACATGGGAGTTAATGTATAACTGCTAATTCACCAAACATTAAGGTTGACGCACAGACTGCTGGTCACATAGCAACACAGATAACAGTCTCTCCTAGCTAGCACCTAACGAAAAGGCAAAGAGAGATTTTTAAGACGAACATCGATAATTTGGAGATGAATGGACTTCTTTGCATTTGTAAGCACTCAGCTGGTTTCCTGATATGTTTTATCTGCAACAAGAAACTGTCAAACACTATAAAGTCATGAAGTTGAAGTCAGTTTCTCGTTGGCCAGCTTCTCATTTTAACTTTAATAAATGGTGCCTTCAAATTCAAACAAGAAGTTAGTGAATGAGAAGCTGACTTCAGCCTAGTAAAAATCGAACGCTGGTAGACATTTTACGGAAACAATTCCACTTTCGGAATTGTTTCCTGCCAGAGATGCAAGAAAAGGCTATAGCTGAGCTAAAGTTTAAAGTAGAGCAAAGTAAGTCTGTTTTCGTTTCTTTTACATTTATATCCTATTCTAGTACATTAGCACAAACATTTACAGCCAAAATGGTAAAATGGACATAACATGTTGTTGTTCCCAAGGTAGTTTTTTTGCTGAAATGGCTCTCCTAACATTTGGCTTGCCAATCCCTGATCTACAAGATCAAGAATATTTAAATCCTTCATTTCGCCAAGCATGTAGTTGGTTTCAGCATCACTTCAAAGGTGTTTTGTTGCCATCTCACAGGTGCTGGGTCAAATGCTGCTTGCTTTTTGTGGGACAGTGATCTGTTTTTGCAAATGGGCGAACTGAGAAATACAAAAACCTAATTACCTGAAAACCTAGATTTCTAGGCCTTAGTCCAATCTAGGGAATCAGAGTATGCTGTTTACATGACCACTTCAATAATCAGATAACTGCCGAAATCTGATAATGATCAGATTATTAAGTGAATGAAAACACACTGCGGTGTCACCTAACATAGATGCTATGTCAACTTGACATTAAAGTTGGCAAATGCAACCTCTATGACAAATGAGGTCTTTATAAATGTTTGTGTAGGTCTATCTCAGTTGTCGTGAGGGTCTTATGTAGGTGTCATGTAGCCTTATAACCACTGCCCTACAGTAAAGTGTTACTGAATATGTTTACTTCTGCATTCCTGTACTTCATCCACCTCTGTTAACAACAGTAAAGGAGAAACAAGCACGTTATATCACTGAACTTAACCAGTAACTTACCTCAGTAATCTCTACCCGCTGCCCAGAGAAATCCACAACTTCACCTGGAGAAAACAAGCAACCAGAGAACATGAGAATAAAAGACCAGTAGACCTTAAAAAGCTAATGTGACTAACTGTGGCATGTAAACAAGTTAATATAATCTTCACTCTATCTGTGCCCTGCTAGCTTTCATTCATTATTAGCAACATTAGCTTAATGTAGTGAAGTATTTCACTGTTCAGAAGATCCTGACTTAGTTACTAAAAACCCTCACCATATGACTTCCCATTGATGGAGCACCTGTTGAAGGTCATGATGTTCTGGGTCAAGGTGCCAGTCTTATCAGAGAAAATGTATTTTATTTGCCCGAGCTCCTCGTTTAGGGTAGTAGTTCGGGCTTGGGCTGGAGTATCAGTCTTAGTGTGGTACATCTTCCTGTCCCAGTCAATGAAGTAGCTGTTCCCCAGCCGGAGGATCTCCACACTGTATAAAAAGCAATACAAGCTAAATTATTTCTTATCATGAAAGAGTGAATTTTTTCACCCAACTTGGAGAAGAATTGCCTACTTTAACAGAAAATAGCTTTCATTCATTATTAGCAACATTAGCTTTATATACTGAAGTATTCCACTGTTCAGAAGATCCTGAGTTAATTACTAAAAATAACCAGCCACAGCTTATTGTTTTGATGTGATGTGTAGGAGCACAGGACTTTTAAAACTTACAGCTTCAACAAAAACACATGCACATGAGACAAAGTGGTATGCACTGGAAAATCACATGAGGATATCTCATTAATTGCATTTTAAATTCTTCTAAGAAAAACTGTGCATAACTATTACACAAGTGATTTTATGAAATTCACAAATTCAGCAACACATCTTGCTCTAAAATTACTGTGAAAATCATCAGAGCGAGCAGAGTGAGCAACTGCTTGCAAAGTTGCAAGAGTTTCCTGTCTGACAGACTGAAATGTACTTAAACTTGGATGTACATTTAGAGTGCAACAGACTAAATCCCAATAGTTGTGGCTAGTTTAACATACAATAGATATCAGAGGTATGAACGTAACGTCTGAGGCTAACAGTGGTGGATGAAGTACAGAAATCCTGTACTTGAGTTAAAGTAGAGATACCTAAGGTAAAATATTACTTCAGTAAAAGTAGAAGTCCTCCCTTTAGACCTCCACTTGAGTAAAAGTACAAAAGTATTTGCCTTCAAATGTACTTAAGTATCGAAAGTAAAAGTACTAAAAGATTAATTATGACTTTAATGTCCAATAATTACCAATTTTGTAACAAGACTCATTTTAGGTGAAAATACTCTAGTGTAGTGTCATACTATACTCTAGTGTCACTCTTGGTAAACCAATCTTTTTAATAGAAAATCTTGCTTTAAACGCAGGTTCACAAATGAGTTTTCCTGTACTGTATTGCATCTGTTGGTCTCTGTTTGTAAACATAAACGGTAACACTTTCTATGAATGTCACGTTTGTAAGCATCTATAAACACATTTATAACATGTTATAATGCCTTCATACGACATTATAAACATGATTATAAACATTTATAAAAATGAATTACACTAGATTACACTTTATAGCCATGTTTATTATACATTATGAATTGTTAATATAATGCATTATAAGTAGGGTTGATAACATGTTATACTGTCAGTGCCAAAGAAGTCAGTCCCAGCTTGGAGACTGCAAAGTAAAGACAAATACCACATTGGGTAAAACACTGATGGCAGCACTAGATTAAACTCTGACATTTGAAGCCTGTAATGTGCTTTATTATGTATGTTTTAGTGTTTCAGTAAATCCTTCAGTCAACTTGAAGCCTCACTCTTAACACTGGAGGAGGCTTTAGTACAGTATGCTTCACTTTACTTAGAGCGGACAAATACGACTTATGAGCTCTTATAACTTGTTATGATCAGTACTTATAATGTATTATGTTGACAATTCATAATGCATAATAAGCATGGCTATAACGTGTAATGCATTTTTAAAAATATTTATAGCCATGTTTATAATGCCTTATGAATGCATTATAACATGTTATGAATGTGTTTATAGATGCTTACAAAGTTGACATTCATAGAAAGTGTTACCACATAAATTAGCAAAAACAAATTTACCATAAAATGAAATAGTGTTTGTATATATTCAGAAAAAAGAAAATGCCAGTCACAACTGCATATGTGTACATATTTCTATTTTGCGGTCTATTTACACAATTTAGGTTAGTTCCATTATTTATTTTGGAATAGGCACTACCAAAATTTCACGCTGCTGCAGACGTTGAACTGTATGCTTCCACTGGGTCGGTATGTCCAAGAGGTCAAAACAAGCTCAAAACAAAGTGCGTGCTGTGCCCTTATTGGTGCTCTTGCTTCACGCTTCTTCGTTTTGGCATGTTGCGTTTTTATACACATATAAGCCAAAAGGAACGACAGATTTTGCATAATGTAGAGGAGTAAAAAGTAAGATATTTGACTTTGAAATGTAGTGGAGAGAAAGTAAAAAGTCACCAAAAATGGAAATACTTCAGTAAAGTACAGATATATGAAAAAACTACTTAGGTACAGTAATGAATTACATTTACTTCGTTACTGTCCACCACTGGAGGCTAAGACTAGTTCTCTTCTATGTAAAGAAAAAGAGTATAAAAAAAGTATAATGTTTATGGGAACAATACTACAGGTACTTGTTTACATGCATATAACAATAAGTAATGGTTTATGGCAACTACATATACAGCAGATGCAGATTAGGTTAAACATTAGAGTTGAGTTTCAAATTTCATGGACTTATTTAAAATTTAAAATTCACAAACTCTGAACTGTCTCAGTCCAGTACAAGCATGTCCAATACAGACCAACCTGACATAGAGTGAGATGGGCACGACAGTGTTGAGAATGATGACGTAGGACCAAAAGGAGAGGAAGCCAGAAAAGGCTGCATCTGCCCCGTCCTGCCGTGGGAGGAAAGCTATAAATGAGGTGCCCTGCTGATGCTCCCAAATCCCATTCCCAATGGCCAGAACGGTGCACATGCAAGCCAGAAGTCCAAATATCTACAGAATAAGAGGACAGACCATTTACACACATCAATATGAGACCAAGCCCAATGAAATTATGAATTCACTCTCATGCAACATTAAACACTTACAAACAGAACTAGAACGTTCATCAGGTGGTCAATGCTTGTGCGCTTGAATACAGACTTCCCTGAATTTTGCATCAGCTTCGTGTCAGGACCTAGTGGGGTTCAGAGAAGGGTACTGGTAAACATACAATGAAGTGCTGTGCAAAATGTAAATAAAAACAGACTGGAATGATGTGCAAATCATTTAAACCCTACACGTAATTGAAAATAGTAAAATGACAACAACAAATGTTGAATCTAGCACAAGAAAAGGTATACTTTTTAGGTTTTAGGGTTAATGTAAATGTAAGAATAACTGCAAGGAAATTTCTGATGTACCTCCGAACAGCACCAGGCCGAAGCACCACTCAGTGTTGCGTAGAGTGCAGCCTCGAAGCAGAATCCTCTCATTATCCAGAGCGTAGGTCTCTCCTTGCACCGTTAGCGTACCCGTGAACTTATCCAGACGGTTGTTTGGAGCCTCACAGCGCACCTCACCTGAACAGCCACACAATCAAACAGTAAACAGCAGAGTCAAACACTACCACAGTGAATTTACAACAGTGGATATATCCTTATTCCTCAAAATAAACAGGCTGTTTCTGTTACTGTGCCTTTAAGAATGATGTATGTAAATGAGCTTTGTTGTGACTGGTTGCCCTGTATTGTGCCTCATTTAAAAAACAGTCCAGATTCAAACACTCCTTATAACTTTAGTGTGAGTGGGTGAGGCTTATCTGCTGTAAGCTAAATAGGTTAACACATGAAAATGTAAATTGGTTTTTCATGACATCACAAGAAATAGCAGATTAGTTTCCATATAGGGACTGTATGGACTGGGAAGGAAATGGTGTGTTTAGCAATGTTTACATACTACATCAAATTCTTTTTTACCAAAAAAAAACATGGAAAATTATTTTTTTCCTGATATGGACCCTTTAAATGATAAATGATATACTGTAATTGTCACAGTATCCATGAGGTATAAACACACTCTGACCTTCTGTGTGACTCACCGTTAAAGGCAGCCAGTCTGTCAATGTTCTCTCCCAAATCACCTGTTATTGTCAGAGCCTGCTTCACCTTCAGATTAGTCTCACTGAGAGAGAGAGAGAGAGAAAGTGAAAATGAATGAGAAAGTACTGAACGTGTATAATACATACTTTTACAGAAGTTAGTGAAGACTGTGCTTCTAATAAGTGCAACTAACCCGTCCAGTTCAGCAGTCTCGATGTAGACCAGGTTCAGAGGCTCACTGCTGGACAGTAAAAGCAGATCAGCCTAAACAGTGGAGCAAAGGAATGATATGAAATATGCTGGCCCAGAAAAAAGATAAAAAAAACAACATGTAAATGTATATATGGGCTATTCAAAATGTACTATATTAAAGTGTATCAAGGCCAGATGTATCTGTTTCTGAAAGCAATGCTACCTTAAGACACAAACTGTGCACAGGACTGCAAATTGCATATATAACCACCAACTGTGCACACAGGGCCGTAACTTCACATAAGACTGCAAACTGCCACAGAACTGTAAACCGTACAAAAGACCACAAACTGCAAACTGTGCATAGGACTGCAGGCTGCATGTAGAACCACAAACTGTGTACACAGTGCCGTAAACTTTACATAGGACTGCAAACTAACACAGAACTGCAGCCTGCACTTAAAACCGCAAACTATGCATAGGAATACAACTCGCAAACATAACTGTGCATAGAACCGTAACCTGTGCACAGGACTGCAAACTGCATAAAGGGACGCAAACTTCGCATAAGACCTCATTCTAACTAACTACCTGCTTGTGGGGCACATGGTTTAAAAGGCACAGTAAAATAATGAAGCCATCAGTTAACTCTGTAAAAAAGAGAAACTGAAAGTTCAGTGATGAAGAGATACCCTTCCCACTAAATCATTCGACAGGGATGATATTTTACTCTAGAATTTGTGAAAGAATAACACAAGCGTCTTTCTACACATGATTTCTGATCCTGAGAGGATAAAACAGTGTTTTTCTGAAGCCTCTGTTTAATTTCTGTGTCTGCTGTCAAGGAAGTTTCTCAACAACATGTCTTTTGAGACCCCAAAGTAAGCTTACACCTGTTTTTTAAAAAGCGAATGCAAAAACAGGCTGCCGCTAGCTGCTGTAAATGGAGCGCTATATGTAATCAGCCACACTTTCATATCTCTACCCATTTTCCTCCCTTAATTTTCATGGTCCTCCATCAAATGTATATGCATAAAGGGAAAGAGGTGCAATTTGTGTTTTTTCATGCACACAGCCCATAAACTGTTTTTTTTATGCACAACATGTGGGTACAACATGTCTGACTGGCTACTGAAGCTGCTATAAAAAGCTTATTATACAGTTTACAGCTAAGCTCCATAATGCAAATCCAACTACTGTGGAAAATTGGTCAAATGCCTTTTGGTTTGTGAAGGATCATATTTGAAATAGGGAGAGGGGGTCTAAATCTGTTCCCTGAGAGATGTTTTATTTATATATATGTTTGCATGTGTTAATATGCATATTTGTATTACACCCAATAAAATGTCATTCACAAAAGCTTAGTGCACCAGGGTCTGAGTTTGTGTATAAGAGTGTGAGCATCCTTACTGTGACAAACTGGTTGTTCTCCAGCTTAATGATGTCTCCAACTTGAACATTCATCCATTTCTCACTCTTTAGCCTAATGGACGATACAAAGATTAAGGTATAAGGCACTTTACACAGTGCAGACATGATACTATCACACTGATATTAATTTTTTGAAGTTTGGCCCAGAGACTCACTGTCCATCAATGAGGACATCCACCCTGCGGTTATTCACCTGTCTGTCGTTTTTATGTCTGTTCTGCAGAAAGAAAGGGAAGGAGAGAGAGAGATGAGAGCATATGTGAGTAAGTGAATGCCCTCAGTTCTAGTTCAGTTGAAGAGATCAGTTCAATTTATTATTGTAACGTTAACTCAGTTGAATTGAATTCAATTTATTTTTAATTTAGTTGAATTCAGTTTGGGGCGGCACGGTGGCGCAGTGGGTAGCGCTGTCGCCTCACAGCAAGAAAGGCCTGGGTTCGATTCCCAGCCGGGCGACCAGGGTCATTTCTGTGTGGAGTTTGCATGTTCTCCACGTGTCTGCATGGGTTTCCTCCGGGTACTCCGGTTTCCTCCCACAGTCCAAAAACATGCAGTCAGGCTGATTGGACATGCTAAATTGCCCATAGGTGTGAGTGTGTGTGTGTGACTGTGACTGTGTATGTCTGTCTGCCCTGCGATGGACTGGCGACCTGTCCAGGGTGTATCCTGCCTTCCGCCCAATGACAGCTGGGATAGGCTCCAGCACCCCACCGCGACCCAGAAGGATAAGCGGTTTAGATGATGTATGTATGTATGTATGTATGAATTCGGTTCAGTTTAAGTGAACTCATTTAAATTCAATTCAGTTCACTTCAGTTCAGTCCAGTTCAAGTCAGTTCAGTCCATTTAATTTTAATTTCAGTTCTGTTCAGTTTAGTTCAGTTCACGCCATTTTATTTGATGTCAGTTCAATTCAGTCCATTTTATGTAATTTCATTTCAGTTCAGTTTAGCTCAGTCCAGTCTATTTTATTTAATTTCAGTTCAGTCAACGTCCGTATAGGAATGTCTATCCACCCAGCGGCCATCTTGGCAACACCGCAAGGCAATTATTGAATTATTATTGATTATCTATACATTAATTATCTTCTATCTGGAAATTTCCTATCTTTTTGTCTTAACTTACAATCTGACAGGTCAAGATAAGATTTTCCACAAATTCGTATTACAGAAGCAAATCTTATCTTAGTTTGGTAATGTTCATTTTATCTCAAGCTTAGATATACATACATAGATGCCACGTTGGCTTTTGTTCTCTACCAGAAACGTCTGCATGTCTGCCATGTTGGAGCGGTCATGAGCCGCTTGTACACAAATACACATCTATTGACTTCTTATGATTAAATTGGCCATAACATCCTTATTACTTAATTGATTGTCACCAAATGTCTTCATACAGTAGAGTGCGCTCCAAAATGAAAGAGTTAAGATGGAGCATTTGAGCGAAATCATAGCATTTTTATATAAAAACTTAAAACTTAAGAATTTTTGTATGAAAGAATACATAGATTTTTTAAGCAAAGAACAGCAAAAATATTTTAACACTGCTGTTAGATTTATAATAGTTTTTAGTTATAGAAGTGCCTATAATGTATGTTCATGAAGTCAGTGAGCGGGAACAGCCAATGAGCTGCTCCACCCAGCCAACCAATCAGCACTCAGTAGCGGTGTTGTTAGTATCCTGCTGCAAAACCTGTAGAAAAAAGGAAACTTTTATTTTGCTTTTTTAGTGAAATACAAACTTCTACGTTCTAAATTTAAAGGAAAGTTCTGGGCAAGTGATTAGGAACCATTTCAACTTTTCATTTATAGCCATTTAGCTTAAATTCACCCCTATTCATTGAGGACTCACAGGCGCCCTCTGGCATTTTGCAGTCATGTTTTTGATATAACAGGGGAAGAAGGAAGAGGCCAGGCTCCTCATAAACCAGCTCTGGTTGAAACCAATGCGGCATCTATGCATATATATCCATGATCTCAAGTTAGGAAATCTTACTTACTTGATTGAAGTCGACAATCAACTGTCATATCTGTTATCTAGCAATTGACCATACACACACAGCTGAAAAGTAAACATGTATTCGAAATAATCAAGTTATTTAGCCAGACAGCTAATATTAGCTACCGTTACTGATGTAAAAAAAGGTCAAACAAAACTAAAGTGCAATGAACTTAAGTTTCTTAACTTACTGAAGTTAAGAATATTGCGTCAGCACTTTGTGCAATTTTTCAGAGCGTCACCGCTCTACAGTTTCAGTTTCAGTTTCCCAAATGCTTTATCCAACCCATGCTAATGTTATTCCTCCTAATAAACAGCCACATGTTCAGCTTTGTCTCCTTATTATTCACCAACATCACTGTAATATGTTATCTGATGAGTTTTCATCAACATTAACACACAAAGGTAATGAGAGAGGACAGTGTCTACAGTGTCTGGGCTTTTAAAATGCTGTTAAAAATCTCATAAATCAAAGCACTGTTTTCACTGTAGATAGATATAAAATCATTATACTAGTTACAGTGAACTCTGCTGCTTGTCACTGCATAGAATGATAGAAACAGACAGTTAAAACAGAAGTTAAGACACCTCATTGGTTGTCTGAAAGTTAGGACAGTATTTAGGACATTTTGACTAGCTTTTTCTGTAATGCTGTTGTCTTCTCTGGAGTTAATGAATAAGATTATGAACTTAAGAACTGTCGTTCTGTAATATTACTGCAAATTACTGTTTTAAAACATGTTTAAAATCACTGGTAAAATCTGCCAAAATATCATCAATTATTTGCAGCATTTGGTCCAATAATACACAAACAATGCCATTTTTCAGCTTGTTTAGGCTACTGCATAAGCACATATCTTCACAAAGATGGGGGACTTTTCCTGGTTGCAGCTTTAACAATAAGCTAACTGACTGTTTTTATTGAAGGGTGGGACTTTCCCCAAAAATAGACACCATGTTGAACATTAGATTTCTCATTTAAATTCATTTCAGTTCAGTTGATTCAGTTAAGTTCAGTTCAGTTCAGTTAAAAAAGTAGAACTAATTTAAATTAAATTCTACAGAGCCCTGCTGGTGACATGTCATATAAATACAAATAATGTGCAGCTACGACTTAGTAAGGTGTGTGAACGAGATCCTAATGCGTTGCCCTGGCTTAATAAGGCATGGGAATGAGATAATTCAGCCTTGACCACAGCTTAATAAACCATGATCTCGTTCCCACGCCTTACTAAGTCGTGGCCAAGACTTAATAATCTTGTTCCCACACCTTACTAATACTGGTGGCCATGAATTATTTTTATTTATATGGGATGTCACCAGCAGGGCTCCCTAACATACAGTTGAACTGTATGAACTGAAGGAAAGGTAGAGTCAATGCAGGCTCTTCCACTGAAGACCTGCAGCAGTAACAGCACTCACAATGTCATCAGAGCCATCTTTAGCCAGAGTGATGCACAATACCAGCAGCAGAGGAACCACAGTGGTGAACCAGGAGAGAGAGGAGATCGCTGGAATCAACTGCAGCACAAACACACACAACACATCCACATTATCACTGACATAAGAGTTGGATTTCTATAAGAATTCAAGAGCTGAATCATCAGTCCCAGTAAGGATTATCAAAGTAGTATCTTTATGTAATTTGAAAGGTCACACTTCTTTAAAAATGATTTTAAGTACTGTTTATCTAATGGTCTCTGACTTTTGCACAATATATGCAGCAGCTTAAAGTGCTCGACAGTGAAATAAAACAATAAAGGCAGAAACACAAGATAAAACATAGTAAGAAAATAATAAAATTAAATTATTGTAAATCATGAAATGTTCACACAATGTAAAGCGCAGCTAATGTTCTTGAACCAAGCTGTGGAGTTTTATAGGACAGTGTTCACATTCGTCAAGTCTCTTTGTATCATTTGGCTATGGACACATGAACTGGTCTTACATTAGTTCAGTATCTTATCATGCAGTTTGTGTTGAGTGTTAGATAAGAGTTCATCTTCAGCTCAGAGACTGAACCTCACCTGCAGGATCAGCAGGAAGACAAAGTAGGCATTGGCCAGCCTCTGGAACTGCTCGAACAGGTTGAGGGGCAGGAAGGTGAAGATGTTGTATTTGGAGGTTTTGATGGCATTGTTCTGCAGGGACACGCAGAGAGCATGTCGTAATGTATTCACATGTACTGACACTGTATAAAGCATAACTGTTTTTATGCACTGCTCTCACTTACAGCATACTTGAAGGATAGATTAAATTCTCTGTCGTTAGCTCGCAGGTGCCTCTCCTCTGCAGCAGAAAAAAGGAAAATGAACACAAATTCTTAGTGTTTTGTGCCACTTATAACACAAAAGCAAAGGTGGGAATAATGGTGAAGTAGGTGATTTATTTTAGAAAGATTTTTTATTTGTTATATTTCTTGAACATGCTCTTTACATCCTGCTAGCAATCAATAAATCAATGCTTGGACGGTAAAAGAAAAAAATCATAACAAAGAAAGAAAAGAAAGACAAAAGTAGAAAAGGCTTCAAACAAAACGAGGTCAATCCAGAGTGAACATCGATGTGGCTTTCTAACAGTGACGAATCCTGAGGGAGTTGAAAGGCCTGGAAAGTGATGCCAAGGTTGCTAATTTTCTGTTGGACAGGTAAATAACTGGTCTGTTTTATTTTGGGGGAATTTGTTATTTTACTGACTAATGTAGCCATTGTAGCTGCTACTTATGTACCTACATTATTTATCAGTCCCACACTAACGTTAGCTAAGCTGTAGGTAGAAGCTGGCTAGCTATGTTTATCTTCTATGTAATCTGTGTGGGTTTATGTTCGCCAGTGTCTGCACTGACACTTTGAGCAAGCATCGTTTGATGGTTTGATGGATCTTATGTCAGTGTGTACATTTATTGGCTTTGAACAGGGTGTTCAAATGAGGTGATGTAGCTTATCTTTGTTTATTTGTAGTTATGAAGAAGATTCTTCAAATTCTGTCTAGTCAGTCCATGTGTGTTCATATGTTTTAGGGGGGTTGGGGAGAGCTGAAAGTAGAGGGTGGGATTTTTTTCGGTTGGATTTATTAAAAAACTATCTTACACTTCCTGGTTTCTACAAAATCACCTCAGCTTTAAGTGAACATGTAGGTACCTTGTCTATATGTTAGTATGTAGTATGAAAGTATGTCAAAAACTCAACTCAACTCAAGATTTTCATAGGATAAACACTAAGACTATTGTAGGAATGAGCATGATGGTGGTGGCGATGATTTACCTTGTACTTTCTCTTTCTTAAAATTCAGTCCACACGCTGACAGCACGGAGCCCATTTTTCACGCTACACATCCAGCTGCATGCTAAAGAGAGAAGAATAGCAAAATATATATACATCCTGGAGACACTTTGCATATAGATGACTTGAGAAAACATGTTTTACCGATTGTCAGTGCACATCTTCTGCTTGTCTACACTCTTTGGCCATTTTTATCAGAAACACCTACCTTATAGCTCTACTATATAGGTGTACAGTTACAGATTGTAGTCTATCTGTGCCTGCACAGTTTATCAGCCCCCTCTATCCTGTTCATCATTGGTCACTTTCTGATCACAGGATTGCTGTTGTTGAGGTATTATTTGGATGGTGGGTCATTCTCAGCACAGCAATGACACTGACATGGTAGTGTTTAGAAACCCCTCCCAGGTGTACAGATAGAAACTATAGCCCATCTGTTGATGCACAGTTTGTGTTAGCCATCGTCTAGTACTCTATCAGTGGTCAGTTTCCAGGACTGGGATGTAACAGAATACACATATTTGTAAAGGGAACACCACCAATGTTTGTTTATTAACTATTTTAAATTCAGCGCAGGGCATTTAAATACGTACTTTGAGGAGGAACTCAAAATTTGCAATCACTGAAGTTCTGCTAAAGCCTGAGTAGACTGATAAATCAATGTGATAATGAGTTATTAATCTCAGTGTTACTGAGCTCTGCTAAAGCCTGTAAATCAATGTGATCAGTTATTAATCTCAGTGTTAAAGAGCTCTGCTGAATCCTGAGAAGACTGAAAAATCAATATGATGATCAGTTATTAATCTCAGTGTTACTAAACTTTTTTGAGGGATGATGAAATTGAACAGTCTCATCAACGGTGGACATGTTTACATGTGATAAAACTAGCGGCAGTGTTGTACTGGACTCCTGCATGCATTTTGTAACAAATCATGTATCCCACATAATTACATACAAATTACAAACCCCCTTTACAAAAAAGTTGGGATGCTGTGCAAAATGTAAATAAAAACAGAACCCCATTATGTGCAATTTATTTGAATCCTATGTGTAATTGAAAGTGGTACAAAAACATGTCAAATTTTTTAAAACGAGAAATTATATTATTTTTTGAAAAATATGTGCCCATTTTGAATTTGATGCCAGCAACAAATTTCAAAAAAGCTGTTAACCTCTGTGTTGCATCAGCTCTTTTTTTAACAACACTCTGTAAGTGTTTGGCAACTGGAGAGACAAACTGCTGTGGCTTAGAAAGTGAAATGTTTATCCATTTTTGCTTGATATAGGATTGTAGCTGCTCAATAGTTTGAAGTCTTTGTCATATTTTTGTTTCATAATGTGCCAAATGTTTTCAAAATGTTTTTAAGATGGAGCAATCCTGTTGTAATATGTGCCGAATGAAGTTTGACATTGTCTTGCTGAAATAAGCAAGATCTTCCCTGAAAAAGGCATCATCTGGACGTCATCTGGCACCATAACTTTCTCCAAAACCTGAATATATATTATTAAGCATTAATGGTGCCTTCACAGATAAGCAAGTCACCCATGACATGCGCACTAATGCACCCCCATACCATCACTGTTTATATTATATGGTTTCTTCTTTGCATGGTAGAGTTTTAACTTGCATTAGTAAATACAGCGACAAACTGTTTTCACAGACAGTGGTTTTCGGAAGTGTTCCTGAGCCCATGCAGTGATTTCCACTACAGAATCATGTCTATTTTTAATGCAGTGCCTCCTGAGGGCCTGAAGATCACAGCCAGACAACATTGGGTTTTGGCCTTGTCCCTTGCATACAGAGATTTCTCAGGATTCTCTGAATCTTTTAGTGATATTATGTTCCATAGATGATAAAGTACCCATGTACTGTGCTATTTTGCATAGAGAAATGTCCTTGAATTTGCCATTCTCAGAGTGGTGAACTCCTCCCCATCTTTACTTCTGAAAGACTCAGCCTTTCTAGGATTGCTCTTTTTATACACAATCATGTTTTTTCTTAAACGTTTTGCTGGCATCAGATTCAAAATTGGCCTATATTTAAAAGAAAATACAATTTCTCAGTGTTAATGATTGATATGTTGTCTATATATTATTTTCAGTTAAAATAGAGTTTAAATGATTTGCACATAATTGCAATTTTTTATTTACATTTTGCACAGCATGTACAACCCTATTTTGGAAATGGGGTTGTACATGCAATTAACTGGTAATTCCAAAGCTATCTGGTTTTATAATCAAATTTGCAAGATTTGGTTATTGAGATGTGGTGAATTGGAATGAGTTCATGAGACAGCAGTGGGATTAATGGAGCAGCAGTGGACTGAAGTGGGTGATGAGAGCCAAAATTTTGAAAATTAACTTTCATGAAACATATTAACAAGAGAATTACCTGAAGAAAACAGCCAAACAATAACGACAGACACAGTTTTTCCCATGTGGCTTATCATGATGTATTCTAAATATGTTAATATTGTAATAACCAGGGTGAGAAATATGCTCTAATTTTTATTTTTTTATTTGTCCATTCATCATGACATTTTCACACAATGTAAAATAGCTCAAATGATGTAGAAAAAATAGAACCCGCCTTTTTGGACATCAGCGATACATATTTAATAAATGGAAAACGTAGATAATATTTCTTCAAGAAAGAAAAAATAAGAAAATAGCAAGAATACTGTTGTGTGTTAGAGAAATGGTCATGTTTTGTTCACCTGCAGTTATTTTTTTGGGTTAATTCTGACAAAGACTCTTAATATGAAGGCGGGGCTAGTTCACCTTCTGCTCTTCAGAGTAGAACTGGGTGTCAGTCAGAGCTGGAAGCGAGAAAATGCAGACGTGAGCTGAGTGTAGAGCAAGCTTTTAGCCTAAAGCCTTGCTGATGGTATGGCATGGCTGTGGCCAGCTACAGCAGGTTAATAAATTACATCAACTTGTGCATAAGTTGTGTCTTTTTTAATGGTGACGAATTCTACAGTACAATTCTTTGTGTTCAGCAACAGCCAAAAAAGACGTTTTTCCTGCATCTTTGATGAGGAAACCTCAGTCTTGATTGCTCAGCAAATGACTTATGGTTCCTTTTGTGGGTCAATAGCACAAAAAAAAATTCAGCTTCAATCTGAAGTCCAAAAACTGTGAAGCACATGTTCAATTGCATAACTAAAACGGAATGTGTTTAAGTGTACGCGTGACTTGCAGGCTACACTACTGCAGCTAAGATGGAGTGAGATGATCAGTGGACTGAAGGTGTTTCTCGCCTCCATATAGTTAATAATAAACTACAGAAAGTTCAGGAAATACTCTGAGCGTTTATAGCTGGATCACTTATCAGAGCTGAGCTGTCGATAGATGGTGATGCATTTACATTATACTCTCTCTCTCTCTCTCTCTCTATCTCTCTCTCTCTCTAGTGTGTGTGTGTGTGTTCTATTTACTGATTCCGAACCGTTTATTTTATAGCAGAGGTGAGTAGAGCAGTCTAAACTCATACTCAAGTAAAATGTGTTTCTTTGGTGGAGTAATGATTGCAGTAAAAGTAAAAGCACCTTTCCAAAAAACAGATACAGAACTGATGTGGAACTTCTTGGTTTATCCCACATCAGTATAGGAACTGATGTTTGTTACACTCTATTCTTTTCTATTCTTTTTGGGTCCTTTTCGTCTAATATAAAATGCTAATGCTCCAGAGAGAGAGGAGTGGACAATAAACAGGAGCTGAACCAACACAACAGAAAGCAATTCAACTTCAAAAAAAAGAACTAGGAACTAAATGCTAATGACTGAAATGCAACTAAATTGAAGTAAAACTAAGTACACGTCCTCTACAGAGAACACGTCTACACATTTTAACGCACAATTACTGCTCATTTGCTGAATTTAGCATATTGGGGAAAAAATAAAATATAAAATGTGGCCTGTGCAAAAGTTATGGCACATTTTGTATTTATTTTTTTTATTTTTTTAATATGTAACTTTTTAATGCAAGTCATTGTACGAAGATTCTTTTCTAATGGGTTGTTTCTGTTAATCCATTCATCATGAAATTTTTCATTTTTAAATGATGCAATGAAAAAAGACAAAAATGTAGAGGACCTGTTTAAACAGCAACTATATATATATATGTATATATACATACATATATATATATATATATATATATATATATATATATATATATATATATACAAATCATGTAAAGGCTGAGGCTGGTGGGGGTTCTCGAGACTGAAATCCCCAACTGTGTCACATATAGCTGTGGTCACATGGACCTGTTTCGAGTCTCTGTGACAAACTTGACTGGGCATTTGAAACGCTAATGATGTCACAGTTCAGTTCACTGAATTTCAGCTTTTATTTTGCAATACATTATGCTTGTCTTACTGGAACATAGAATAACTTCCTGATAATCTTGGTAAAATGCTTGTTGGTGTCATTTAGCACCTCTTTGAAAAGTGTGTATATAAAAATTGTTTTTGATTGTATTAAAGATTAAAGTTGCATTAGGAATGGACCAATAGAAATACTCCAAAACTGCTTGGACAAAAACAAAGAAATATATTTCAAAATGTAATTATTGCATTTGTGCCCACAACATTCCTTTATTCAGCCCTTTGAGATCATTACAAACTACAGTAGTGATAACACGTCAGCCATAACCCTGAACATTAGACCTGAGCACTCCTTCTGACTGTCACTCACACCCTGTCCTATCTTCACTTATCTTATCTCATTTCAACCATCTAAAACCGCCAGATCAGGACAGAATAAAGAACAGAATTCCCTAAAAACTCTTCCCAATTCCAAAATTCAGAGCTTGTAGTGGATCCACCCTCTAACAAGTGAATGACTACATTTACCAGCGGCTGTAGTCGTCACATTCATGACTCAAATGGAGGAATTCTCTGTTTTCACATAGACACACTGATAAACAGATTCTTTCACTGCCACACTGTATTGGTGGTCATTGTTTTCATTGTAATGGGGGGCAGTACAGCTCTGCAGACAGCACACACACTGGCATGTAATACATAACAATACAAGTGCAACTTAGCAAGACCAAGGCATATGTAATGTTCTGCAAAAAGATTAATAATCACTAACAAATTCACTAATCTTTTCACAACCATAGTGTCCCTGATTTATGATTTTTCTTCATTTCTGCATAGTTAAGATATAAAGAGAGTCATTCAGAGTGGTTTGGTCTGAAATGCTGTGTTCTAGAGAAACAAACAGACAGAAATGTTCAGAAATGTCAGAAACTTATTGCATGAAATGGTAATGAAGATGCTAATTTATGATATTTTTGAAAAAAGAAATTTTGGCCTAAAACTTATCTTTAAGTATAATCATAGTGGAGGGGTACATGTAGGGTGTTGTGTGGCAAATTAGTCCTCAAAAATCTTTTTTTTTTTTCATATTTATCACTATTTTACCATCATCAACGCTACATATAAACACTTAGAAGACTCGTGTAGGTTCACTTGTGGTTTTGGATAGTAAATACAATGGCTATATGTGTTGTAGTCATGGCGACCCCTGGTTTCTATCATCACCACTGTAAAGAAATCTTAAATGGAACTCTCCTTTAACTATAACAATGTACTAATCAGAAGATCTTTTTATAGGAAATATGCTCTTTTTCAAAGAGGTGCTAAATGAAACCAGTCACCTTCAAGCATTTTACTGAAATTTACAGGAAGTGATTATACTTCCCAGCAAAAAAATGGTATGATGTGTTGCAAAATATTCTGTAAACTGAGCTATGACATCATTACTGTTTCAAATGCCCAGTCAAGTTTGTCACAGACACTCAAAACAGGTCAGTGACACAGCTATGTGTGACATTGATGGGGATTTCAGTATAATGCAAATTCAGTATAATGCAAATTCAATATATTTATATTTATATGGACCAATATAAACACTCCAAAATTACTTGTAAAAATGTTCCATATGAGATATGAGATTTAGTCGCAACAGCAATGAGATACATTAATAGGTAATTAGCTTTTTTGCTTAAAGGCTATGATGGAGCTACAACCTCTATGTCTAGTGTGGACTGATTTCTCTCTCAAATGGAATTACTAAACCAGCCGAAGTGAAGAACCAAATAGTTTCCTTATTTAAAGTTAAAATAAAACAGCGTTATCACACATACCTGAGCCAGAAATATCCCATCCAGTTCCTGAAGAAAAAGTCTCGTCTCAGGCGAAACTTCGCACCCACATATACACCAGCACAGGAACAAAGTGGTGTGGACTACAATTCCCACAATGCAGCACTGCAACACACTTTTGTCCACTCCACTTGGCCAGAGCAGGTCTAAATGATCTGATGGATGGTCCAGATGAAGCTAAGGAAAGGTCCTCAGGTCAGGCCTAGGTGAGGTCAGGAGAAAAGGTCAGAGGTCACGGAGTGAGGAAGTGAAGCCGGGGGGAGTGTGGACGCACCTGTAGCTGGAATGAAATGGAGAAGCACAATAGAAACTGGCTGAGCTTCACGCAGAAAGCAAACATTAACTGATCTTTGGACTCAAGGGCAGACCAGTGAAAACACAGGCTGGATGAGTGACGTGGACCGGAACATGACCAATGCAGTCGCTCGCTTAGAGGAACTACCTGAATGAACAATTCAGTACAGTTCAATTTATAGTGTTTATTTGGTCCAACTGCCTTGTACTTAACTCACTGGCCACTTTATCAGAAACACCTGCCGTATAGGTGCTGTATTCAGGTACAGACTGTAGCCCACCTGTTACTGTTTGATTTATCAGCCCCCCCTTTCTCCATCTGTGGAAAAAGGACCACCGTAGGACGACCACTGTAGAGGTACTAGTTTGGTAGTGGCCTATACTCAGCACAGCAGTGACACTGGCATAGTATTGTATATGATGCTGGTTGGAATGGTCAGCAGTGGTCCTACAATGGTTGTCCCTTATCAGTAACAAGTTGGAAGGGGGAGGGGTTTGTGGGTGATAAACTGTACAGCAACAGATGGGCTGCAGTCTGTAACTGCAAACCTACAAAGTACACCTATAGCACTGTACCAAACTAAGAACTCACCCTTAGTGTATTTAATTTCCAGTCAAATTGGCCATTACTACATTTTTCAGGACGTTAGATACTCGATAATGCACTTGCATAAAGAAGGAGAAAATCAAAAGAAAACAAACAACTGGAGCTTAAAAATAAATAAAAGCTACAGAGAAAATGGGGCTCCTAACAACCACCTGGAAGACCTGGTAGACACCAAAACTGCCCCCATCAGATACTGAGATATTTCTGAGGAGATTAGTTATAATACATAAAATAGGAGAAAGTTAAAGGAAGGTGAGAAAAAACAGGTGTTTCCAAAACTGGAGTTTTAAAAATGATTAAAAGCTACAGAGAAAAGGTGACTCCTAACAACCACCTGAATGACCTGGTAGACACCAAAACTGTCCCCATCAGATAAACAGCACTTAAAGCTTTCATCTTTGAGAGAGAGGAGAAAATCAAGCTGCTTCAGATCTGAAAACATCCACAGGTGTTTTTGTCCATCCTTCCACTGTGAGAAGACAACTCAGCACTACGGGTCTGAAAGGATGTGTAGCTGTCAAAAAGCCTCACTGAGAAAAGGAGACAGACACATCAAACAAAGAAGCTGAACACCCCAGAGTCCAGACCTCAACACCACTGATGTTTGATTACTTCAGGAAATAATCAACCAACTTCTAAGACTGAACTTTGGAGGTGTGTCTGAAGATTTAATTGAGACCTCTGTGTATGTTTTGTTCAATATATGTTTCTGCTTTTTTCTGGTTTTGCCTGGAGATTAAATAAACAAAAGAGTGACCTGAATGTGTTATGTGGTAGTTGTTTCTGAATGGCCCGCGAGTGCAGGTGTGAGGTATATAATAAACAGGAAGCTCAGTTTACAGTGCATTCTATTACAGACATCACTCCTTAGCTGTGGGTGTAACTGCTAATGAACATCACAGATAGAGAAAGTGTCATAAAAACTCTCTAAGAGCACAAGGAAAATCACTGATCACATTAATTATGGATTAGAGTTCTCTGCTGCTTCTAAGTAAGTTAGTCACACTTATAATAGAAGCCTGAAGCAACAGCCCTTTAGCTCCTATTAAAGTAAAGCATTCCTTTAAATGTGAGGCTATAAAAAGTAATATGTTACTGAGATGGTGTAAGGTTTTACACCCTATATTATCAATCCAGTCTTGTGAGATCTCCAGCTAGTCTGTGTTTACTTTGCAGAACACCTTGTCCAGGTAGAACACAAATCATTAGGTTTGAATTTGTTAGCAAATAGAACACAAATGAGCTGGTTGAGGGCTAAATTAAGGGGCATACATTATGGAATACCTTCAGTTTTTTGTTAAAATACACAAAATTAGTACTAGTTCTATATAAGGGGAAATGGGGGAAAATGCCATCTTTTAGAAGAGTGTTCATTTACTGCAAAGCTAAATAAAATGTGTACATGAGTTTAGCAGTTTAGAGGAAACTAGAACACCAGACAATTCTGCTTTATGGCCCAACAATCTTTTTTTTCTAAATTTTGCTCTGATAGTGGGGTAAGAAACCACAGTGAATTTTTTTCAAAATTTATAATTAATGTGTCAAAATAAGTTACAATGTTTGCACTTTTTCAAAAATCATTATTAATCAAACACAAAAAGCATATTGTAAATGAAATTGAGGCCTTTATTAATCAATGTCTTAATGATCTCACCACTTAAATGAGCTGTGATAAAATACAAACAGTAAAACTGAAACACAAAGTTTGAAATTTATTAATTAATGAAATGGTTATTGTGATTATATTAATTGCACAATATAATGCTCATCTAGTTATTATTATTATTATTCTAAAAATATTCATCTCATTTTCAACAAGATGGATAAAAATGCTGATGAACTGTAGTTAACAGTTGCTACAGCTAGCATGTAACGCTAACGTGTTCAGTGAAATGACTACGTGCTGTGCGTTGTCTTCAACTGACCCTATTCAGCCTACAGCAGTTTGGCCCCACCCATTCACACTGATGTTATAAGGAGTGTCTCAGCCCAGACTGCTTTTTAAAATGAGATACAATATAAGGCAGCCAAGCAGAACAGCTCTTATAACAGCTGCCTTATATTTACATTACTCTCAAAGGTGCAGCTTGTTTAACTTTGTTGTGTAGAAAATGGTCACACAAAAAAAGATGGTAACACTTTGAGTGGTCTTTTGTCGATGAGTAATAAACTCTTAACAGATTATCAGTAACACATTAACAACATATCAGTAAAGTTGCAGTAGTGAAGCATCTGAATACACCAAAGGCCCTCATGCTAACCCTAAGATTAACCTCAACCCAAAACTAATTCTAACTTTCACCCTGCCCCTAATCCTCACCCTAAGATTAATCTCAACCCAAAACCTAATTCTAACCCTGTTTTTGACTCCTTACTGAGAGTCTGTTGAGTGTTTGTTTCATCTAAACAGGACCACTCAAAATAAGTGTCACCAAAAAGTTTTATGACTGTTTTTCGACTATATTTTTAAATGTTGATAGTAAGAACTCACATCACAGCAACTTATCCTTTAAATATTTTATATAAAAGTAATTTGTTGGAGTGTATACATACACATTTTAATGATCACACCAACACAGTTTTTTGCAGTAGTGACAGCAAACAATATAAATAAAACTTCACAATCCCAAACATGTGGATTGAACAGACTTCTTGTTGCATCACATGCTGTTTTTCAGTCACTGTTTTCATCATTTAGTGCAAGAATTCACAAGTTTAAAAAAATACATTTACAAAAAAAAAAGAAAAAAGAAAAGTGAACACTTGCACAAATTGGCACGAGGAATATATATTTTACAAAGAGTGGTAGCTTCATCCCTCACGGTCCAAGAAAAACATTGTCACAGTAACTACCAGTGTATATACAGTATACAGTGTGAAAGTGATTCTAATACAGACATGCTGCGTTTAGCTGTCTTTCTATCACCATTGGCAAGAGACTTCCCAAACGTAGGCAGTGTTTTAATGAACACTGAGTATTTTAAGCGAGTATTTTGCACATTTCTTGGATTGCATGATGATTTTCCAGTGTAAAGAAATGCAGGATTAAAAATAACCTGGAAAAACAGCACATACAGTAACACCAAACTCTTCAACTGGAGGAAAAACAACCATAAAGGGAGATATGGATACAAATATTGCTCTGATTTATAACCTTTCCACATGAAAAGGAAAAAAAAAACAACAAATAAGAGGCAACAGAATACACAGGAACAGAAAACTCACTCGTTTTTACTTCACAAAACAAAGAAAACAACATCAATAACAACAACAACAGCAACAAAAAAATGTTAATGTAGACCAAAACTAAACTTGAAGTAAGGCCGCTTAGCAGTAAGAAAAAGTGGATGCTTTTCTGATAAGCCCTGGTGGTCACTTGAGCTCTGGATCCATTTGTACTGGCTATTTACACCACACGGATACGACACCTTTGCACAAATTCATACCGATTCATTCACAGTACAGTACAACAGCCCTCCTCCTAGAGTAACTGAACACTTCAGATATAACTGACTGGATAAAAAAGACAATCAAACCAGCACAATATCCACATCAGTTTTTGTGTCATAATCTACATTTGTGATGTGAGGAGTCCAGTGAAGAGTGTGTGGATGATTTAACCATGTTAAAGAAAAAAAATCCAATCAAAACGGTTGTTAATAATGGATGCACGGAGACAATTAGCATTATGCAAATCACATACGCTAATCAGGGCTGCCGCATTAGCATTCGTGGTTGAGTTCCCTTTACGCCTTCAGTCTTGGTGTACTGCTGAGGATGCTGAGGCGTGTTTAGATGTCTAAACAACAGGTTCTCACCACCGTACTACATCCAGTAGTGTGTTTTTCTCTCTCTTATTGGTGTTTTTTTGTAGCCAGTCGAGTATTTAGGACTAGTTTCAGCTATTTTTGCAACTGGAGCAGAAGGCTTCCAATTTAGACCTGAATCCACGTTCCGGTCCTGGATTTTGTTATCACTGGTGGGTGACACGAGACGGCCAGTTACATTAACAGTCCATTTAACCTCCATTGTTTATAAAATCCAAGACCAGAGGGTCTAGTAAAGTTTAACTCGAGTCCAACTTGTTGTCATGGTAGGGAATCATATCGCTGGTGCCAAAACAAAACCTTGTATCTCCAAAATAAAACCTCCAAAGAAAACAATTCTAGCTTTTAATGCAATGTAATGTAAGAACATATCCTCACTGTCGCATAAAAGCCTTGTATCTCAATTTTTGTCTTTTTTTTTTACATAATTTGAAAACTCCAGTAACCCTTTGCATTGTATTAAAATTCCATGATAAATTAACCAAGAGAAACAATCCAAAATTACTTGTTCCATCAACCTCCTTTTCAAATGAAGAATGGTTTTTAATAGTCCTGTAAAGTTACTACTTTGAAGACAGGAAGTAATTCTGGACCATTTCTACTGAAAATAAAGTGAAGAGATATTTCATGTATAGTCATATGCAAAAGTTTCAAAACCACCAGTCGAAGTACATGTTTTGTTAATTTTCTTCATATACACAAGTTCACACATCCTTTGCAGGGAACTTAATTCTGCCATTTGTCAGTTAATAAATATGACGGTATTTTGGGTGGAAGGCTCTCTCTCTCTCTCTCTCTCTCTCTCTCTCGAGCAGTTGAATACTGCAGGGACAGGAGCAAAAAGACCATCGTCAACAGCGCAGAGCCTGTAGTTCTAAAGGCACACAGTTGGCTATCAAACACATCATTAACTGCTCTCACAGTGAGATGATACAGTTCACTGTTTACAGCATACAGGGTCTAAACACAAACTGAATGTACTGGTGAACAGTGAGAGAAACCCCAATCACAGTACATTCGTATCAACAAAATAAGGCATTTATACTCATGGCAGAACAGGGTGAAAAAAGTGCACAATACAAGTAGGGACCCTGTATGCTCAACTATTTGAGGCATATCTGATACAGTGACCAAAAGCGACAATACAAAAACAGACCACAGGATAAAGGGAGTGAGAGTGAAATGTGAATAAAATATCCATTGTGGTTAATATATGTTATTCATTCTTCAGCATCAGGAAAAAACATAATTAACAAAAAAATTAAAACTGGAAATTCTCAAATTTGGCAGTAGTTAGTGTGTCCACTCCGCTCTTATAACAGCTTCCATTTTTTTCAGGATTTTGCTTTCACCCTTCAGTTCAGTCTTATAATTTGTTGGATTTTCTGCATCTCATAATCTACATAATACCTGTTACTAATTTGGACACATCAGTCTATAAAACTTTACTCCACATCTCAGATACCTAGTTTCAGTGTTCTACATGTTTCTTCTTTTTGTCTATTTTCTTTTCTGAGGGCTTCTTGACAGCTACACATCCTTACAGACCCATAGCGCTGAGTTGTCTTATCACAGTGGAAGGATGGACAGAAACCCCTGTGGATGTTTTCAGATCTGAAGCAGCTTGATTTTCTCCTCTCTCTCAAAGATGAAAGCTTTAAACACTGTTTATCTGATGGGGACAGTTTTGGTGTCTACCAGGTCTTCCAGGTGGTTGTTAGGAGTTTCATTTTCTCTGTAGCTTATAATCATTTTTAAAACTCCAGTTTTGGAAACCCCTGTTTTTTTCCCAACCTCCTTTGACTTTCTTCTTCCTTATGTGAGTAGATTATATTATATATGATCTCCTCAGAAATATCTCCTAAAAATTAATTGGCCACTTTCACTGGAATATACATATATAATAATATACACAGAGAGAGAGAGAGCTTTAAAGAGAGAGAGAGAGAGAGAGAGAGAGAGCATGATGTCACATTTGTGAAAAGTGAAGCTTCTCAACAAGCAGCCAAGTAAGAACAGTGCATTATAGAAACAGCAGACAGGAAGGACATTATTGAAGACTCCTCCCACCATAACACAGGAACCTGGACAAAGCTCTCTCACAACTTTGCTCTGTCCACTCCTCACATTCTTCCTCCATTGATCAGCAGCATTTTCTTTATTACTAGCATTCAAGTTTTTACACATCTGCCATCCGTCCTGATTCAGAGAGGCTTTTCTGAACTCCCTCCGTTTCCTCATCTGCCCTCCTCCGCTGAACGTGTTTCCGACTTCAGTTTGACGAACTCCTTGGCCACCTCGTCTCCGGAGCGCTGGGACAGGATGCGCATTACTGTCAGGCCCGTGTCGTCCATGTGCACCTGTGTCCCCAGCGGGCACCAGCAGGCACAGCTGGCTCTTTGAGCCACGTCCCGCAGCTGGATCACCGCGATGCCGACCACACGGTCCGCACGGCCAAAGCAGTAATCCTTCACGCACACCTGCAGCTCGTAACACTCCGGCCCGTCCTCGTTCCCCAGGATACTGTAATTCACACACAGGAACAAAATGTGTTTTTTTAACCCTTTAAGGCCGACGCGAAACAGTGGCTCTTTCTGCTGTTTTATGTAGTCTATTCTGTTAATAAAGCGATATCTAAATGCTGTTATTACGTTTATTGTAATAAGAATGTGATCTAACAAAGTGGAAAATCCAAAGATATTTATTCAATAAGAAAGTTGCAACTTTCTTTCTAAAAATAATACCTAATACCAAAAATAATACTTAATAATGGTGCATGACAATGCACATACTCAAATATGTCATCTATTAAATATCTACAAACCTATTAAAAAGACAGAAGTCTGTTTAATGCCAATCAAAACAGAAAGCAGTAACTTGAAAATCTACTCTGACCTGTATTTAAACTAAAACAGAGACAAGATAATTAATGTTTTATCCTATCTACTTAATTGTTTTTTTAGCTTTATGAGCAAAGATGTGTCAGAGCTCGCAACTTTGCCAAAAATGCATCAGCAAAAACATCCAGCAGTTTAAGAACAATGTTCCTCAATGAGTGATTTAAAAAATATTAGTTATTTCCCTTTACAGTGCAAAACATCATCAAAAAACAAAGAAAAAATCTCGTAAAAGGAAAGGCCCCAAACCTTTGACCCCTCAGATGGTATGTTTTTGTGATGGACATCACCACAGGGGCTCAGGAATACTTTAAAAACTGTTGTCGATAAACACTGTTCGCTGCTGCATCCATGACAATAATGCCCAGATATGCTGCCGACTTCTCTGGACAGTGGAAATGTGTATAGTAGTCAGATAAGATAAACCTTCCGGACTGTTTGTGGAAATAGATGTCGTGTTTTCTGGGCCAAAGAAGTAAAAGGGCCATCCAGAGTGTTACCAGCATAAAGTTCAAAAGTAGTGGTATAGAGGGGTATTAGTGGCCACAGCAACTTGAAGGGGTAATTTGCACATCTGTGAAGGCTGAAAAATACCTTTACAGTTTAGTGTGTGAAACACAAGTCAGGCCAGTGGCACAATCCTACTCGGCTTGCAAAATTATTTTAATTTTCTATTAATATTAGCCCATTTCACCATAAACTGCACTACAGTTCCCAGCATGCACTGCAACATAATGTGTGCTCCAACCCCTTCCCCAACAAGGATATATATATATATATATATATATATATATATATATATATATAAGAAGCTCTACTACAGAAATTTCATGTTTCCTGTACTGTTTTTAATTTAATACAGGACAAACAGAATTTACTAATCACTGCTCTCTGTTTTTATTGGTATTTTAATGTATTGTTTTTTTGGAATTTGCTTTGTACTGTATTGGTTATTAATACAACCAGTGTGACTGTTATCTGCTTTCCTGTCCTTTCCAAACCTAATTAGCAGGCAATTTTGACCACAGGACCACTGTCGGATGGATATTCTGGTTTGGTGGACTGGTTAATTTAATACACATAATGACTCAGTTTTAGGAGTCATCCTACAGTTTGAATAGGGATTAGTTTTTTTGATGCCCAATTTGATGCCCAATCTGATCCGAGTGTTTTCATAGATAATACAGCTACACATATTTGGGAACATTATGCTATTCTGCGGTCGGCTAGTTTAAATACAGTAGAAACACTAGAGCTGCAGATATTACACCAGGTTTTGTTATTCATCATTTTCATCTCTGGCATACAATCAAACTTACATCTGGTAGGAGTGTACAAAATTTGAGCATAACAGGTTAAACAGCTGAATGCTGTAGTTTTATTGGCTCACTATCACCCTTGAAAATAAAGTCCTGGTGAAATGGATGCTATGTTTTATTGTACTCACAAGTGGAATGTCTCGTTGAATTTTGGTGCCCAGCTGTTGTTCTTGGACTTTGTGGTGAATTTGCGTTTCTTGTCGCTGAGATGTGGGCCGATCATGGTGACCTCCACGAAGGGGCGGAACATTCCAGACGTCTGCCACTTCAGATCGTTTGCTGCCACGACTGAAGATGGATAAAAAGCAAAAGGATTAGGTTGTTTTGATTAAGACCCATATTAAAATTATTTTACTCAAAATATGAAATGAAGGCTAAAAAAAATCTTGTTTGCAATATTTTTAAACTGCACTGTGACACACTTCTGTCTATGTTTATAGGTAACAGTGTGTTATACAGTGCCAAAAACCGCATAGGATTACTTAACCCAGTTTGAGGCAAACGTGTGATGTTTACGATGGGTAGAAGTCATATTAACCTCGTAGCTCCAGCGTAAAGCTTTATCACAGATAGCCTACCACCAGGTTTCATCTGTTAGTTGCAAACTGAACAGTTTCAAGAAAAAGTGGCCAACACTCACTCTGAGTGAACAAACATACAAACTGACAGATGTATCGGATATTAATCTTGAGCATTTATCTTTTATTTTTACAAAATGCACTAAAGTGGTTTCATTGGGCAGGAGACTCACCTTTGACTGTGACCTTGTGCTCCCCTGTGCCTGGATGGGTGAACAAGTCAATCTGAATGGACACCTCTCCCACAGGGTTATCCACACCTGAGCCTGAAATGAAACACATGCAGGAAGTGAGACATGGAGGCAGAGCAATTGAAAACAATAGAAGGAGAACAAACTGAACTGCTCTGGGATTAGTGTTCAGACTAGGGGCAAGTCAGTTATTATACACTTATTGCAAGTCCATGATTCAATTTTCATTATGTTTTAATTATTTTGTTTATAATAAAGTGGCCATTGAGTGGAAGTACAAGGTGGCTGTTTCCAAAAAAAAAAGTGGCCAGTGAGTAGAAGCACAATATAGGTGTTTTTAATGAAAAGGCCAGTCAGTAGAAGCACAAGGTCAGTGTTTCTGATAAAGTCGCTAGTAAGCAGAAGCACAAGGTAGGTGTTTCTAATAAAGTGGCCAGTGAATGGAAGCACAATGTCATTGTTTCTGATAAGTGGCCTGCAAGTGGAAGCACAAAGTAGCTGTTTCCAATAAAAAGGCCAGTGAGTGTAAGTACAAGGTGGGTGTTTCCAACAAAGCGGCCAGTGAGTGGAAATACAAGGTGGCTGTTTCCAATAAAGAGGCCAGTGAGTGGAAGCACAAGATAGGTGTTTCTAATAAAGTGGTCAGTGAGTGGAAGCACAAGATAGATGTTTCTAATAAAGTGGCCAGTGAGTGGAAGTACAAGGTGAGTGTTGATGTTACAAGATTACCACCAAGGCTCTAGCATACTGTGTTAAGCCTGTTTGCAGGTTCATTACATGGCAAATATCAATATCAAGACTATCTGAAGGTAGGCACACAATGCAAGAAAATTATGAGATTCTGCTTGTTTTTTTAACACCTTTTTTGCCAAAAAAGTTATAGTGATCCAAATATTTTAGATACACAACATGTCTTAACTGAGGGGACAAGACAAGACAGGCTGTAGGTAAACTGGTCTGGGGTCAGCACCTACCCCTGGTCGGCTGGATTCTCTCATTAAGAGTTATCCTCATCCCCTTCCCACCATGCACTGGGGCAGAAAGAGTGGTGACGAAAGCACAGTGCAGCAGAAGAACGTGAAGCAAGAAGAATAAACAGGACAAGGAAAAAATGAGAGAGCAGAGAAATGAGGCAAAGAACAGACACAGAACAGACACAATCTGAAATACCAGATGTTTGCCATAGAGCAGCAAGGTTACAAACATGAAGCTGAAATGTCTAAGTGCACTAGTGACCTCTGGTGGCCACTCTGGTTGCTGAAGAGAGCAAAATAAATGAATAAGTATGTGAATGAATTAACACATATTGACATATATACTTATATAAATCTTGAAAATATCTGCAAACCAACGGCTTTGAAAATTTTGTGTTTGTGCACATGAGCTTACAATAAATAAGAACTATAAAGAAAGAAAAAGCCCTCAATAAAAAAAAACATTATTTAAAAATTGTATTAAAAAGCTGTACGTGTGTTTTAATAATTTTGGATATAATGTGTTTTGGAAAAGAAAAGCCCACTCCCAACATTGTAGTCGTCTATAAAACCTCATAAGAGAGGCAGAAAAGAGAGTGAAACAGACTGAGTGATCAAAAGTGAGGAGTGAGTAAGTGAGAGAGACGCAGAGAGAGAAAAAGAGAGAAAGAGACAGATATCGGAGTTGTACCCTGTGCGTGCTGCGTGGTGACGAATGTTTTGATGAGCGTGTCGGTGGTCTGTGTGTAGAGGGACAGCGCGTGGCGGAGTGATGAAAGTTCTGGGCTTTTCTCCAGAAAGGCCTTCTTCAGTCCGTTTCCTCCAGCATGGAAATATTGCTGAAAAGGAGAGAACAAGACACAAAAAAGCAATAGTAGAACAAAAATGAATCTAAAAAAAATTACACTATTGCTCCCTATTAATGCAAACGTAGGTAATCAGGCAAAGTGCGCTTGGTGTCTGCAGATTGCTTCTATAGTTTTACAAAAGATTCATGATATCTGCTACTACTGTTTTTAACTATGTGACACAGTTTTGTCCCTTTTTAAAGATAAGTGGTTCTTCACCGAGTCCACAAGGTCCTGCAGCCAATCCACAATTTTGCTGTGACTCAGCTTCCAACACATCTAGGTATTCAGCCTCCTTAGGTGCAACTCATTTTGAGTTGCAAACATTGTGATTTAAATTCATTTTCTCCTTTCACGATGCATATTAATTTCAGACAGAGCTCAGATTCCTTCTGGATCCAAAGAGGAGACTGATATGCAGTCCTAGATGAATGTGTTGGGCATCTAAGGCAGGATGAGTGAAACTAACCATAATGACTACTTGAACAATTATTATTTAAAGGCTTAACTTACACAGAACAAGTTAAAAAATCAAATACATAGTTGTTTATATATTGATTTTTTACCTTGTTCTTTGTAAGTGTATCTCCATTTTTGTTATTTTTCCGTTTCTGACAGTTTAAAAATGCCTGTTGCCCTTTAATGTCTGGTTCCATTGACTTATATTAAAAGTAAAGTATGTGCTTTTTGCTTCTCCTATAAAGTTACCAGCTGGAAAAATAATATATAAATGCTAAAATTACTCCAAATGTAATTAATGTAATTACCTCGAGCTGACTTTACAGCACGAATGCTTTTAAAAAATACAAGCTGCTAATTTTCCCAACTAGTAAAATAATCAAATGTGCTGTGTCTGACTTTGACTGTTGTTGAATTGCTTGGTGTAACTATCAAGTTGCACAGAAGTTATGTTGGGTGCAACTAGTTGCATGAAAGCTAAAAGGCTTCACGTATTGGGTTTGGAGCTGGGCTGGAGCAAAAATGTGGACTGGCTGAGAGGTCCAGAGGACTGGTTTGAAAAACACTGCTATGGATAACAGCATGACAAAGGCTGTCAGAAAGTATGGCTGACATGAGCAAAATATCTAACTGCAATTTTTCTGACCAATGCTGTAACTGGAAATTAAGGTCCAGGCCTCAAATTGTCCTTTTTTGGCCAGGAAGACCAGCATGTCCACTTTTTCTGGCTTGAGGCCTGCACGCTAAATGTAGTATACCAGACTTTTAGTTAGTTGTGATTGTCATGAATGTTTGGTTGCTTCTGATTTGACTCCTCTACAGGCAGTTCGCTGGCTCTGGGTTATTAGGTCAAACCCAGAGCAGGTGACAACCTCGTTGAGGCAGCCACTTAAGAGAACATGGCTGATAATCTAAGCTGCAATTAAAACTAAAGCTATATATGAATCTTTCAGCTTCATCAGAAACAACATAAGTAATCTCAAACTCACTAAACAACTCACCACCGTCTCAGGCAAGTGTACCATGGTTTAACACAGTAAGTGGACTGGATGCTAATGTTTAAGCTTCCATTACTTAAGTACACGAGCCTTGATGCTCCAGTTCAAGTCTAGTGCTGGACCAGATTACACTGTTTAAAAATAATGGTTCTTTGAGGGTTCTTTAATAAAGGAAATAGTTCTATATATAACCACGTACAATAAACAAACTCTTTGCATGATTAAAGGAAAGCATTCTTCAGATTGATGGAGAATGTGTTTTAGATGGTTCTATCTAGAACCTTTTTGAAAAGAGTTCTATGTAGCACCAAAAAGGTTCATCTATTGTTACAAGCTTGACATTGTCAACCCTTGAACCCTTTTTTGTGCTATATAGAACCTTTTCAAAAAGATACATAAGATTCTCCATCTATCTGAAGAACCCTTTCATGATGCAAAGTGTTCTTTTTGTGTTTATGGTTCTATATAGAACCATTTTCTTTACTAAAGAACTCTTGAAGAACCATCTTTTTTAAGAGTGTACAATAAAATTACACTTCACTCTGGCGGTTATACTCCACCCAGAAAGCCAGCTAAGAAAGTCAGTGTGTATATTTTGAAATAATGAATGTAATTGTATGTATGTAATGAAAATGTAATTAGCTGTAATAGTTTCTGATACCTTTATAGTGTCCAGTGCTACGTCCATTACAGCACACTGCTTTGGCGTGAGGCTTTTGGCCTCCCCAGACATGTGATCCTGCAGTCACAGACCAAACCTCACATTACGACAGGGAATATTAATAATTTAATATTCAACTGGTGACCATCTGACCACTGAGAAGTTACAGATAAACTAGTAAACAGTAACTGCTGTGCTCACATATGTTATCTGACTGTGTAAACTCGTAGATCACAGCATGTTAAATATCTCTGCACCTTATTCCACTACCTCATGCTCAGAAATGAGTGCTGTGTCGGCGCTGCACTGTCCTGTCTGTTTACTGTGTCTAATGTCTGTTTAATTTATTGTATTTATTGTATTGTTTCTAGCTTAATTTTTTGTTTGCACACTGTCTGCATGTTCGCACTTTGTACTTTTTGTTCCTTGTTGCACCTTGTTCCTGGAGGAACGTAATTTCACTCCACTGTGTACTTGTACATAGATGGAATGACAATAAAAGCCTCTTGACTTGACTTGACTTGACACAAGCATAATTTAACTCAAGAACTGAAAAATATAATAAGCTTTTCTAATGTATGTTTCCAAATTTCTTTTTTCAAAAGTGAAGTGATAAATCAATCTGAAATAGTACCTTAAGTTTAGAGAGCTGGCCCAGGTCTTTAGCTGCTGAAAATATTGTTCCCTGAGAGAGAGAGAGAGAGAGAGAGAGAGAGAGAGAGAGAGAGAGAGAGAGAGAGAGAGAGAGAGAGAGAGAGAGAGAGAGAGAGAGAGAGAGAGATGAATACAGTGTGAGGAAATTACTTATCAGAAACCACAAAAAACAAGTCTAAAACTAAAATCAAACCAAAACAAAAATGAAACCAAACAGAACGACAATTAACAGAAATCAAAACAAATCAAAACCAACCAAAAAAAATCACAACAAAACAAAACAAAACCAAACAATACAAAACACATCCAAAACATATAAAAACAAACCATAATAAACCAAAGCCAAACCACAATCAAAAAAGAAAAAAAATAAACAAAACTAAACAAACTAAACAAGCTAAGTGAAACCAAACCAAACCATGACTGTATGTGTGCGTGTGTATATGTGTGTGCGTAAGTCTTACGAATGTGTCGTTGCTCTGAGGCAGAACGATGGTTTTTTCCAGGCTGTTCATCACGATCCTCCACAGCTCCTTCAGCACACGCTTCAGAACCGTCTTCTCACACACTGACGCAAACAGCATCAGACTGAACACACAGACACGCACACGCGCACACACACACACACACACACACACACACACAAGTGGTCATGTGTCAGGATTAACACTCTCTGATTCACAGTCAGGTTCTACCAAATCCAGACATCACGTTCATTCAGGTTCCTTTAGATTCAGCTTTGAAGTAACTGTTTTGCTTCATGCAGGAGCAGCTTTGACTCACTTTCCGTCCAGGAAGTCCATGAGCGGCCGCAGCATGTTGTCCGAGTCGGCCTCCACCAGGTTGCGGGTGTTGGCGTTGACTGGGCCTTTGATCTGGTAAAGCAGACTGGCCATCTGCCGCGTGCACTCATCAATACGGCTCTGGAAACTGCACGGGCAGTTATTATTAGAGAGAGAGCGCACATGAGAGAGATATATATAATAATATTAATAATAATAATAATAACAAAATGCAGGAGAAAAACAATGAAGTGTAAAAGTGCTGCACAAGAAGAAAAAAGAAAGAAAGAAAGAAAGAAAGAAAGACAGAAAGAAAGAAAGAAAGAAAAAGAAAAAGAAATTCTATGTAAAAAGGGAAAGAAAGAAAGAAAGAAGGAAATTCAATGTAAAGAAAGAAAAGAACAAAATGAAATGAAAATGTAAGGGAGGGAAACAAAGTTCAGTTAATGTTCAATCAATATTTAGAAATATTAACCTTTTAATCTAAACTGTAATTTATCTACTACTGTACTTTACAATCGACAGTTTACTAAAGCTAAAGTCGATTTGCATCATCAGTAAACGACTGCCTCACTTAAAAAAAATGAGGACAAAATCAACCTTTTTTTTATTTAAAAATAAATTCAGTGTTTACAGTTCAGAGTATTCAGAAGATTGAAGGACACAGTGATTCACTGGCTCATGTGACTGCTGTTTATTAGATGGATGATACAGTACTGTGGTCACTCACTACTCTGGCGATGTGATAACGGACTTACGTGTTTGCAAATGTGGAGCTCAACTCATCCAGCACGTTGTTCAGTTTCACCTGCAGTTCATTAAGGATGTCACTGGCTTCCGAGTCCATCTGCACACATACATGCACACACACACACACACACAAACACACACACACACACACACACACACACACCTGTCACTCAGACTACAGGCTGACGTTGTTCATATTCCTACTAGGACTATTACGATCATTCAATTAAAAACAGCATTGATTAACATATACCTTCTCAACAAATCTGCACAAGATTAGATGGCAGCTGCATGATTATAATGCATATTTTAAATTCTATAAATCTCTTAATGCTTAGTTTATCCTTTGCCAGTGTTTTATTATCATTTAAATTGTTCAATAAAGTCTATTTTAGTTGCTTGTTTTCTGATTCCTTATTCCTTATTATTCATTATTCGTCAATTTAATCAATACAATACTCGATTGCTAGTGTGACAGTTCCTAATTCCTTCTCAGGTTCCAAAATCTCCATGCTGTCCTATTTCACCCAGTGCTGTTTCATTACAGCTGCACCAGAGATTCTTTTCATTCACACACATCAGAAAACATAAACCTGGTGTGATTGAAAACAGTAGAGCACCGCACTCCCCCCCAGTCAGAGATAAACCCCTCTGGCACAGATAAGACCCGAGGAAAAGAAACTCCAATCAACACACATTAGGTTAATGATTCATCTGCTGTTAAACAGATACGCCGTGTACAGCCTGCTCAAACCCACCTTTTTACCGGCAGACTCCACCTTCAGAGGGAGAAAAGTAAAGACATATTTAATAACTTATTCACTGCCATATTAACACCATGATCTGCTTCACTACACTCAACTGGAGAAGGACAGCAGGGATCCAGGGGTAGAATCATGATTTTTAGTGGCTAAAAAAGGGCTAGTTTGTTGATGTGCTGTTTGAAAAAGGAAAAAAGGAAAGGAAATTCTATTTTTTTTTCAAAATGTCTGCATAATTAAATGGTTAAGATGCAAACAGTCATTCAGAGTGGTTTGGTGTGAAATGCTCTGTTCTAGAGAAACTTACAGAGTCAGAATTGTTCACAGTGGTGGTGATAGGAACCAGACGTCCACCTTTAAAAGCTCTGTCACAGAAAGTTATTACATGAAATGGTTATGAATCCACTGCCTGATGTCTGACACATTGTTTTCCAATAGTTCTGAGAAGATTTTGGCCTAAAATTAGTATTTTTAAATATATTATTGGTGGAGGCATACATGCAGGATGTTATGAGGCAAAATAGTCCTCAAAGTATTCATTTATTTTCAGATTTATCACTACTTTACTTTACCATCATCAACATTACATATAAAAGCTCAGAAGACACATGCAGGTTCACTGGTGGTTCTGGATAGTAAATAAAATGGCTACATTTGTGTTGTAGACATGGTGTCCCCTGTTTCCTATCACCACCACTGTAAAGAAATCTCTACAATCAACCATTTCACTTCTCAAACTCTGAATTGTGTAGACATTTTGAAAAATTGGTGGACCTAAGTTCTGAAGATACTTATCAACTTAGAATTCACACTCGTGTATTTATTTGGTTATTATTTCATAAATCATTCATGAAGAAAGCTGTTGCTATAGACTCTTTTTGCACACTGGTCCATGGCAAGAAAGAGTGGAGCTGATTAGCTCAGAACACATCTGATTGGCCTGTATCACTGCCTGCTGCAGTAACTCTCCTCAGCCTCATCTGATGCAGTGTTTCCCCTGGAGACTGTTAGTAACTGCATTTATCATTTATTTCTTCTTTTTTTATCAGGTCAGTTTGACTAACAGAACCATCTATAATAAAGGCCATTAAGGGAGATGAATACTTATGTAATTCAATACAGCATTTTGAAAGAAGAGATATCAGAAGGTAAAAAGGACATGAGAGGGGGGACATTTCTGTGTTTTTATCCCTAAAACCTTGAACTCACCTGCTTCTCATGGTCAGTTTTCTCAGGCTAATCACAGAGCAGCAAGAAAGAGACAAACGGGTCATTTTTTCCCTTCTGTGATACTATTTTAATTTAAACCATCTACTGCAAAAGCCTGCACTTAAATTTCTCTCATACCTACATAACAGGGTTTATAGAAATTCCAGCTCCGCCCACAAATGTGTTCTTTCATAGATACTGCTGCTAGATTAGACAAGCTTTACATTCAGTCCAATTAGAAACTGTACCACTCAGTTACATGTAAATAAATAACTACATTAAGAATAATTGATTGATTGCTGATAATGTCTATTTTGTATATGTGTGAAAAGTCATGCTGTTCGGATAGATCAGATATTTTATTTATTTATTTATTTTCGTTATTTATTTGCTCATGTAATTGAGCTAAAATTAGCATGGTGGCAAATGTTTCTAACCTGCCTTCTTTCAATTAGCTACGCACTTAAAAAAAAAGGGTGTTCTTCAAGTGTTCTTTAGCAAGGTTCCATATAGAACCATGAAGACCCAAAGAGCCCTTTGCATGTTTAAAGGGTTCTCTGCATTGTGAGTGTTGTTCAGATTGATGGAGAACGTGTTGTGTATGGTTCTATACAGAACATTTTTAAAAAGGGTTCTTTACAGCACCAAAAAGGGTTCTTCTATCATTACAAGCTTGACATTGTAAAAATAGAAGAACGCAGAACAGAACATTATCTAGCAATCTGAACAACCATTTCATGATGCAAAGGACCCTTTAATTATACAAAGGATTCTTCGAGTGTTTACGATTCTAAATAGAACCATTTTCTTTACTATAGAACCCTTGAAGAACCTCTTTTTAAGAGGTGTACAACAACACAGTCCAGCTCAGAAGTGCAGCATTTTCAACAAGAAAGTCAATGTAATTTAGCAGCTCTTAAAACAGCACTACAATTTCTCATTATGTTGAATGGCTGTCAATGCTCTGCACAGACTAAACAAACAGGTAACAGCTGCAGTCCCATAAAGAGGAACATTTTGTGCTCCAAAGTACTAACAACATACATATACCCTTGAGGTCTTAAGGTCCAATTCTGCAACATAAAGAGTTTTAAAGGTGCATTACATTCACCGTCTCATGAAAAAGGTGCATATTTGACTTAAACAAAAGTTTAAAAGTTTAAAATGGAACAACAAAATAAAACACTTGCAGTGAAGGCAGGACTTACAAGTTTTAAACACTTTAAACAAAGAACTGTATCGAAATATGGCACAATTACGTTCTCGGACTGGCCCTGAAGACGTCCCTTTGAGGACACAGTGACAGCGTTCGAACCAAAAAGAATTACAATTAAGTGGAATTTCTGAGAGTGTACTATGAAAGGACACATTTGTGGGCGGAGCACAGAAAGGTGAATCTGTCTGTAGCGTAAAGGTATCAATCAGGCCACTGTCTAAAAACAAACAGATCACCCTGAGAAAAAACTAAGAAATCTGAGACTTAGGCCCAATCCCATTTCTTATTTTTACCCCTTGCTTTCAGGTGTCACTTTGCCCCTTGAAACTGAGTTACAAGGGTTAGTGGTTGAAATTTTGCCTATGAAATGGGACCCTCAAATAAAAAGAACATTACTTCATTAACAGGCTACTAGCGGTGCTCTGTAGGTGACCCTGTCAGTCTGCAGTGATAACAGAGGAGGAAGTTCAGCAACCTCACTGCTGGGCTTTAGCTACATTTAGGGCATCATATCAGTGATATGAAGCTGAAGTCAGCTATTTGTTATGTACCTTTTCAAATTTTCCTGTATCACCTTAAAAGGTGTAGCAGTTCTACAGCACCAGAATGCTGCACGGGAAATTTAGCTAGCTAGCTAGCTACTGAGACATCAGCGAACTACTAGCGATTTTTTATGCTTCTTATGAAGAAAAGGACCATAATATATTGAAATGACATTAAACTAAGATAAAACAATGGTCATCGTATTTTTGACGGAGAATATACTCACATTTGTGGATTTCTTTGGTTGCTTGCGCAGCCATCTTGCTGTTTACTCATAACACTCTGTTTGGAGTGTGTCTCTGAAATGGAGGACCATGTAGCCCTAACACTTCGCCCTACCCCTCAACCTCAACAAAAATTGGGGCACTCTACCCCTAGACAGGAACGTGCAAAACAGAGGGCTAAGGGCTAAGTGGTAGGGGCGGGGGATTGGGCCTTTAACAACAATGTCGAAGCAAACATCAGTTTCTGGTCTATTGAACTAAAGTAAAACACAGTGGCCAAATCCTAATTAAAGATGCAGAACATAATTCCACACACATCACAGGAAATGACCTCTAGGGCACACGTTAATAAAAAATAAGGATATGGGGCCAGAGCGAAATGATTTATAGTAATTATCAAAATTTCATTTCAGAAAGTTATAATGAACCCACCTTCTCTTTATCAGTCTTTTGAAAACAGAAAAGAGAACATGGAGACAAGGTTATATGGGACAATAACTGGACATATTTGACGTACTTGTATTGTCCATATAGAAAAATTCTTTTTGATATATGTATAGAATTTGTCTATATGTCTATCTAAGTTTATCTGGTTACATTAAGTTTATCGAAGTATACAAACCCACCTTTTCCTCATCAGTCTATTGAAAAGAGAGAATGCAAAGAAAAATAACCAACCAATTATGAATGGGGGAAAACTATAGCCTTTAGTATTGTATAAATCTAGTGCACATACAAAATCAACAACCTACAGTGTTTCTGACAAAAGATAAACAAATCTGCCAGTCAGTGATTGTGTTATGTCTTTTGCATGTGCACACCAGTGCTAAAGGTACTAAACAGGCGGATTAATAGAAAGTGGTTTGTGGGTAACCAGACAGCAGTAAACAAATATACTGGGCAAGTTAGTTTGTGAATGGTTTTGCACAGATAGATCCAAACCTAACCCTGACATTCTCCCTGGCTAATGGCCACCTTAGAGCACAGTGTTAAGGTTGAATTCAGGTTGTACTGGGGGAATTCAGACTGGATGACTGGTCCAGTGTGGTGAATGGAGAGTATGAGGGGAGAGTGGGTGTTAGAGCTGTACAACTTAAAAAAATAGTTTGGCAAAATCTAATTTATGCAGTTTCCCCACATGTAG